ATGAGCAGTCCGGGGCCAGACCGGCTGAGAGATGCTGACCAGGGGCCCTGGGGAGCCCCGGGAGTCTGGGAAGGACAGAAGGGCGTGGAGAGAACAGCATTTCTGGAAGGAGCATCCCGCTTTCTCCCCGCAGGCTCAGGCTGGCCCGGAGACATGCCAGGAGACCCAGTCTCAGCAGCTGGGGTCCCAGCTGACCCCAAACCCCACACCCAGCACACTGGACACCTCCCCCCGCCGGCCCCCAGGCACTGTCACCTCCCCCACCAGTCCGTCCCTCAGCAGCCCAGGTAAGGGGCGCCTGGGGCCTAGGGGGGGCGCTATGGGGAGCAGCTCGCTGTGCCCTCCTCCAGCTTCTCAGTCCCGCCTCTGTTCTCCAGGCCAACGGGATGATCTCGTCGCCAGCATCCTCGCAGGTAGGGGGCGGGACCTGTTGCAGGGCGGGGCCTATTCTGGAGGCGGGGCCACCACGGGAGGTAGGGCCGCTCCTGGCTAGCGTGTGGTGCTCCTGCTGGGTTGGCGCCCCGCCCCCGCCCAGCCTGCCTTTGCTCTGCTGCTCACAGAGGTGGCCCCAGCCCCACTGGACGAGCTCCGAGGCCACAAGGCTCTGGTGAAGCTCCGGAGCCGGCAGGAGCGAGACCTGCGGGAGCTGCGCAAGAAGCATCAGCGGAAGGCCGTAGCCCTCACTCGCCGCCTGCTCGACGGCCTGGCCCAGGCTCGGGCCGAGGGCAGGTGCCGGCCCCGGCCAGGTGGCCTGTGAGTGTCCAGCCTGCCTGTGTGTGAGTGTGCTGTGTGTGTTGATGTGAATACAGGGTGTGTGCGCATGTGGGGTTCGGCACTCGGTGGGCGCGGAGGGACGGGGGGGTTGCCGCTCGACCCCCAGGGGGGAGGGTATAGTACAAGGAAGAAAGGAGGCTTCCCACACTGGGTCCCACCGTCTTTCTGCCAGGGAGTGACACCTCTTTTGAAGTCCCCTGGGAGAGACTGATGCCCAAACAGGCTCCCATCATTCGGGCGGAGCGAACGGGCCTCCTGGTTGGCATAACAGACCCTGCCCCCCCGGCTGGTGTCTGCTACTGCCTGATGGGATACGCCCTGTCCCCCACTGCCCCCCAAGTCCATGTGATGACCCAAGCATCACCCAGAGGGTCCTTCTGACAGAGGCGGGGAGGACGAGAAGGAGGAGGAGAAAGAGGTGAAGCACTATCAGGAGTTCCAGAAAAGACAGGTGCAGAGTCTGCTGGAGCTGAGGGAGGCCCAGGCCGACACAGAGAGCAAGTGGAGGCTGGAGCACCTGCGACAGGTGAGGGGGGCATGTGGTGGTGAGGGAGAGCCACCTCCTGGACAGACCCGTCATCCTCCTGTGTCACCTTTGGCCACCTGTGTCCACAGGCTCAGCAGCGGCTCAGGGAGGTTGTCCTGGATGCACACACAACCCAGTTAAAGAGGCTGAAGGAGACGAACGACAGGTGACAGCCAAGGATCCTGTGTGGGTGGGGCCAGGGCCTCCCTGCTGCCAGGAAGAGGGTAGAGCCCCCTGTCCTGCCACTGACCCTTCCTCTTCCCCCACTGGCTCCTCCAGGGAGAAGAAGGAACTGCAGAAGATCCTGGACAGGAAGCGCCACAACAGTATCTCGGAGGCCAAGACAAGGGAGAAACATAAGAAGGAGGCGTAAGGGCGTCGGGGCCGGGAGCCATTTGGGCGCTGGGCAGGCAGGGCTGGGTGCCTGGGCACTGAGCCCATCCTGCCTTCTCCTCTGTAGGGAACTGACCGAGATCAACCGTCGGCACATCACTGAGTCGGTCAACTCCATCCGTCGGGTGAGTGAGGCTTGGGCGTGACTGTAGCCTACCCTTCTTTCCTGGGTCCTGAGATACCCACCTCGGGGCCTGGACTGGAGCTACACTGCCCCAAGGGGCTTCTAGAGTCTTTCCCTTTGGGCCCCACTGCCCCCTGGCTTTGGAGTTTGAGCCTGGGACGTTTGCTCTAAGGGTCATCTCAGAACCCTGGCCACACACCCTGGGTGCCTGCACCTGCCTGATACTCTGCCCAGCCAGAGCCGCAGGGCCCCAGCCCCTCCCTTAGAGACCCTCAGCTGAGCCCCTCCCCGTCCCCCACAGCTGGAGGAGGCCCAGAAGCAGCGGCAGGAGCGCCTTGTGGCCGGGCAGCAGCAGGTCCTGCAGCAGCTGGCAGAAGAGGAGCCCAAGGTGAGGCCTTGGTGAGGCGGGCGGGCGGGCGGGCAGCAGCAGGGTGCTGGTGGCCTGGCCTCGCTGTGATCTCCTCCTCCCCCCGCAGCTGCTGGCCCAGCTGGCCCAGGAGTGTCAGGAGCAGCGGGCAAGGCTGCCCCAGGAGGTCCGCCGGAGCCTGCTGGGCGAGACGCCGGAGGGGCTGGGGGACGGGCATCTGGTGGCCTGTGCCAGCAACGGTCACGCGCCCGGGAGCAGCGGGCACCTGTCTGGTGCTGACTCGGAGAGCCAAGAGGAGAATACGAAGCTCTGAACAGACTGAGCAAGAGGTGGCCACAGGGCCGGGGTGGGGCACTGGGCGGAGGGCAGGCGGCTAAGACACTAATGCTTTTTTTTTTTTTTGAGTTTTTATCTTTAGAAATTTTATTTTTTTAAATTGGGGCGAGCACCCATGCTAACTGCCTTCCTTCACCCTCCTGGGTCCCTTTAGTCCCCAGCCCCTCCGTCCTGCCCTCAGTCCTCGGAGGATGCTGGCTCACTCCAGGCCAGCCGGGCCGTGGTCGGGGCCTCGCTCCCCATGACACCCACAGCCCAGAGTGGGAGTGGTCTCCCTCACTTCCCCAGGGAACACTGGGTGGAGACTTGGAGCTCTGGGAAGTAGGGGTCACTTTCTTTCTCTGTTCGTTGGGGATTTTTTTACATGAATAAAAGTGGATTTCAGGGACCCTGTGTGACGCGTGGTTGGGGTGGGGCAGTGCCGGAGAGGACTGGGGGCCCTAGGTCTGGCTCCACCACTTCTGGGGCCTCAGTTTCCTCGTCTGTAAAATGGGCTTGTGGGCATTGTGGGGTTGAGGTCAGGCCCCCAGCGGAGGGTTGCTGGGTTTGAACCTTGAGACCTTGTAGCCCGCGGCCCGCATATCTTCCCAGCGGCACACCTGACACCTGACATCAGCGGCCTCTGGCCTCCCCAGGCTTTCCTGCCTCTGTGCCCTCTGTCCCTGGGCTGTCACTCCCCCTGCCCCCTCCCCCATTACTTTCCTCCCTCCTGGGCTCTTGTCCTCCCTTCTCGGAGGTTCAGGCCTCTGCTTCAGGAAACCTTCCCTGCCCCCCCTTCCTGTTGCCTGATATGACCCGAGGCCCAGCACCTTCCGCCGAGGCTGCCCTGGGCCCCACACAGGCAGTTGACTCTGTTGGGGGCGGGATTGGCTAAGGATGGAGCTGGGCAGCTCACCACCTGCTCAGCATCAGGGACCTGGGCTCTCAGTGACAGGTGGGAATTGGGTAGGCCTGGCAGTGACCCTTGGGAGAAGGGAAGCTGACAGCCACAGACACGGGGCTGGGAGGCCCAGCAGCCCCTCATCCCTGTGAGGGAGATGTTCTGCCTGTTTTACAGATGAGGAAACTGAGGCCCAGAGCAGAAGTCATGACGTCCTGATGTGGAGGCAGGTGGGCCTGGACCCTCCATGGCAGACTCCGCGGCCCGCCTGGAAGACCTGCTCTGTGCCCCACTCCTGCCTCAGGACCCCGAGGAGAGGCAGAGACCCCGCGGCGAGGCTGCGGCGGGCTTGGTGGCTGGGTCAGGCTGGCACTCCTTCAAGGCCTCTCCCAGCTTCCTGGTGCTTCCCGGGCTGCCTGCCGGCCTTCCTCCTCCAGAGGAAGGCAGCCTCTTATCTGGGCTTATCTCCTGCCAATTGACTGTTTTCTTTCTTTGTTTTTGCTGCAGCCTCAGGCAAACAGATGGGGTGGGGAGGCCTCGAGTAGGGCGGTCCCAGGGCTGGGGACCTCTGCCCTGGGCCCTACTTCCTCAGGGTTAATTCTGGGGCCAGGCTTTGTCCTACCCCCAAATCGGCCCATTGCATTCCGGGTCCAGGCCTCTCAGCAGCCAGCTCCTGTCTTCCTGACTCCACTCCCGTCCACTTAGGGGAAACACTGTATGTCAGTCCCCGGGTGCTCAAAGACCAGGCTCAAGTCCAAACTCCTGCGTTTGACATTCGAGCCCCTCAGAAGCCTGGCCTTTGCTGCTCCCCCATCCTTCCATGGGACCACTCTCCCCTCTGCCCGGAATGACACCCCCTGCCCCATTTCTCCCTTCAAGTCCCAGCTCTAACTCACCTCCTCCCTGAAGCCCTCCTGACTTTCCCCTGCCGGGGGAAGCCCCGGTTCCGTCCCCCCCCGTTATAGCACCCAGCTGCCGGTAACCCTACTCTCCCCTTGTCAGGAAGCTCAGGAGGGCAGGGGCCGTGGCGGATTTCATCCCTGTACGCCCAGTACAAAGCACTGGCTGGTCTATAGGGGGCGCCAATAAATCTTTGTGGACGTGAGCTCCGAGCGGCTCCCGGGTCCTGGTGAAGCTTCCCCGGCCCCCTGGTGACGCCTCCCAGCCCTCGGCCGAGCCTTCCGCCGCCCCCTCCCCCGCCCCGCGCGCCCTGCCAACTCCCTGAGCGGCGCTGGCCCCAGGCCGGCCACACAGTAGCTGCTCCAAAGGACTGACCCACATAGGAACAAATGACCCTCCCTGGGGGCCGGCGGCGCCGTTTGCCCAGCGCGGAATTCCGGCGGCCGGCCTGCGGCTCCCAATTACCCTATTAGCGATAAGGACCCGGAGGTCCCCGGGGCCGGCCGCGCGCCGCCTCCCGAGGTCCAGCAGCCCCGGCTCTGTCCGTCGCCTCCCCGCTTGCTGGTCTCCGTCCCAGCGTAAGTCACTCAGAGAGAGCCTCAGTTTCCCTTATGTGTAGAACGGGGGCATCTCTGAAACTGTCGGTGCCAGCACGCCCTCGCCGCCGCAAAGTCCCCGGCGACGACAGAGGAGACGCGGCCACACGGACGCGAACTTTATTGGCACGTTCGGGCGCGTCGGCCCACAGCTCCCGCGCGGAGGGAAGGGCTCCGGGGAGGTCGGGGTTAACCCCGGCTCGCAACCTGGCGCAGGCGCCTGGGGCAGCCCGGCGCGGGGGCGGGGTCACGGGGCCACTTCCGGCGGGTAAGGGCGGAAAAGCTTCCGACGGGGTCGCACCCTCCGTGGTCCTCGCACGCTCGGAAGGGAGTCGGCCTCGGGTCAGACCGCCTCCTTCCAAAGGAGACAGAATGGATCCTCTCTTTGCTTAGGGCCTGCGGAAGGGACTTCCGCCCACACCCAGGATGGCCGCCAGCGGCGGCGGGAGCGGGGGTTTCGGGGTGTGGATGGAAGGTCACTGGGAGGGGGCGGAGCCTCCTCTCCCCAAGTTCCGATCCCACCAGGACTGGATGGCGCGCGTCCAGCTGGGGCTTTGCCGCATCTGCGTCGCTGTGCCCGCGCTCTTCGGGCGAGGAAGTGCCTTCGGGGTGGGAGGAGGAAAGGATTAAATACGTTAGCGTCTCCCGGGGAGATAAAAGACCACAGCTCCCGGCATGCACTGTACCCGGACCCTTTCCTAGGCACGGGAGGTCGCTTGCTTGGGCCTTTAGGAATGGGACTGCTTAGGCCCCAGACACTCCGCGCCGGGAGAGGGGGCAGAGCCTACGACCCTGTATGTTAGCACCAGAGCTGGAGACCTAGCACCTGGAAAATGGGACCGCCACTCGAGAATTAAAGAAGTGGTTCTGAAGTTGAAGCCAAGGGCCCCAGATACCCGAAAGGGGCGGGTGGGGAGCACAGATGCCAGCATTCCTCGCGCTGCAAGAATTTGGGGACCCCAGGAGCTTTGGCCTTCTATGGAGCGGTCTGGACTACAGATCCCGGCATGCCCTGGGACTCGGGGACAGGCCGGTGGGAGGGGAGGGGTCCTGGAACTACAGATCCCAGCATGCCCTGGGACTTGGGGACAGGCCCATGGGAGGGGAAGGGTCCTGAGACGTCAGTCCCGACGTGCACTGGGACTCGGATGGGACAGCCCAGTGGGAGGTGACCTGGGAGAACAGGTCCGGGCGTGTGCGCCGCGCCGGCGCTCACCTGGAAGGAGACCTGGAACTCGTCGCTCATCCTCCGGAGCTCGCGGCCGTAGCGTCGTGCAGCCCAGAGGTTGGGGGGCGCCGAGCGCGAGCGGCCCCGGAAGGGGCCGGGCTCCTCCCCTTCCATCCCTTCATCCTCGGTCCCCTCGGGGTACGAGCTATGGCGACTCCGGGTCTCCACCGCCCCAGCGCCTGCGGAGAGGGTCGGGGGTAGGGCGCCGGGCGTCTCAGCGCCAGTGGCCCGCTGATGTGTGTGGGCACGTCGCTGTACCTCTCGGAGCCCCGGTTCCCTCGGGTGGATCCAGGGAAGCTCATGGGGCCTTTGTGAAGATTTGAATTAACTTCTCATTAATCCCACAAATCTTAATTGAGCCCCAATAATGGGCCAGGCCCTTAGTGTATAAAATGACCTTCCTCTGTGCCTGGCACAAAATAAGGGCATAAGAACGAGTTATTAGTGCCAGACCATGAGGCCTCCCAGCAGCCCCTGGGTGGTTAGCTCTTTCATTGTCCCCACTTTCCAGCAGAGGAAACCGTCCCCTGGATGAGGAGGTGCCCTGCCCCAGCCGGACAGGCCTCAACTCCAGCTCTGCAGGGGACCTGGGGGGCCCATTAGTCTCACCCTGGTGGTCCCAAGAGACCTTGGGCCCCTGGAGAACAAGCATCTGGCAGCCACATGTCTGCACTGCCCACAGCACTCACTTTGGAGAAAATATCCCCAACGGTCTGTTGACTTTTTTAGGTGGCACTCACTCTGTGCTGGGCCCCAGGCATGACCTCATTACCCTCCTAAGCATCTGGGAGGGGAGCACTAACATCACTTCCATTTTACCGATGAGAAGCCAGAGGTGAGAGAGGCTGAGGCTTGCCCAGGGCGGCACAGCTGTGCAGCTTTGCAGCTGGAAGCCCCTGGAGGTTTGTTGGAATCCAGAGCCCAAGATGAGTCATTAAGCTCCGCTGTCCAGCCCCCCTTCGACTCTGAGCCCATGTCCTCACCTCTGTGGGATAAGCCTGGACCTCACTCCCAGTCACACAAAATAAAGAGTGTGGAAGTGCTTTGTCGGTTGCGGGGCATGATGGGTCCCTATTCAGAGAGGCCCCTCCCCTGTCCCCTGAGTTTGTCTGACCTTTGTACTGCATGCTGGGCCCCCTCTCCTCCTAAGCCCACCCCCCTACCCAGACCACCCAAGACCTAGAACCACTCCCAGGAGCACAAACCCAGAGCTGAGTAATAGAGGGAAAGACAGTGCGGAGCGAGTGCAGGGGGCCTGCTCGGCGGCCATCAGGGAAGCCGTCTTGGAGGAAGTAAGATTTAGGCCAGGTTCTGAAGTCAGGGGATAACGGTGCCTCGTCCTCCCCCAGAGGACCTTCCGCAGAGCCCTGTGGGCCCGCTCCAGGGGCTGCAGGGTCTCCCTGGGTCCCAGCTCCAGAGAAGTAACTTGCCCAAGGTCACAAGAAGGGAAGAGAGGGCTGGATGGCGAAAGGCCTGGGCTGAGAGTGGGCAGAGCGCCGGGCTGCTCTGAGCTTCGCCGAAGCCCAGGCCTGAGGTCAGGCAGGGACACCATGAAGTCCTGAGGAACGGGGCGGCCGTGGGGACATGCAGCCAGGTCAAGAGCCGGGATTGGGGCTTGGGGCTGGAGGAGCCGGGAACAGAAGGAGCCCTGGTAAGAAGAGGCCTGTCTGCAGGCTTTCCAGGTCTGTGGGGCCTGGGCCGTGAGGCAGGGGTCCGTAGCCAGGCGGCCCCCTTGACTCAGTTCCTGCTTGGTGACCTTGGGCTCTTTCTCTAACCCGTTGGGGCCTCAGTGTCTTCCTTTATGAAATGGGGGCAGCCCCCATCTCCCAGGACCCCCTGGGAACCAAGGAGGCAAGGAGAGCATCCTCCTCTGCCCCTTTCACCTCCTAAAGCCTCGAAGCTCTCAGTGGGGTGGACACCAAGTTCTCCCTGTTTCACGGATAAGGTCGGGAACTTTCCCAAGGTCACAGAGCTGGCACACCCTTCCTGGCCACTTAAGTGCTTAGGCAACGTCAGCTATTACCCTCCTGCAATAGCTCTAAGGATCCACACACCCACTGCACCTGACAGGCAAGGCCCAAGAGTTGGAAGGTGAGTGACGTGCAGATGGGCATTTGGTCCGGAAACGGCCCCATCGCCCAGGAATCGGAACAAGGAGAAGAGCAGTCACCGTGTCAGGGTGGAAGTGCTTCCCGTGTGTTAATTCATTACGTCCTCATCGCACCCTATGAGGGGTTACTCACCATCCCCATTTTGCAGAGGAGAAAACTGAGGCACAGAGGGGGTAAGTAACTTGCCCGAGGTCACACAGCTGGTAGGCAGTAGAGCTGGGATCCAAACCCAACCTGTCTGGCTCCGGGGCCTGTGTGTTAACTCTCATGCCCCAAGCTCCCTCCAGCAGCACCACGGGCCACCTTGGGGGCCCAGGTTGGGGAGGGCACCCCTGGGCCTTCTGTGAGTGCCAGCCCTCCCAGGAGCCTATCCTGGGGGGTGGAGGATTTTCACCAAAGCCTGGATTTGGCGATACCAAGCCAGCCATTGTCTAAATGACACTCATTTTTGTAAACTGAACTTTTAAAAGTGTCCTTCTATTTACTGGAAAAAACCTGAGGGATTTTCTGTGAACTCCCTGGGGGAGGCAGACATCCCCAACCGGAACCACCCTCAATGAGCTCTCAGCCCCAGGGGCCCTGGGCAGGGCAGAGGTGGCCTCCCAACTCTGGGAGGGGCGGGGGCGGAGGGGGCGTGGCTCCGGTCTGGGTGTGAGCACGGGTGGGTGCCCACTCGGCCATCCTCCCACAGAGCCGCCAGGCCCCAGCACAGCTTTGCCTTCTTACCCACTGGGCTTCTGGGTCAGCGGGTGGGGCTGGACACACGCACGCTCAGGCCTCCGTGAGCATCTTTGCACACTTCATGAAAACGGTGGTGCTCCAGCCTGTTCGAGGCAGTGGCGCTTGGCCCCCAGGCGGGGCTGGGTCTGGATCCTACCATATGCAGGTGTTCGCACTGCCTGCCCCCAGCCTGGTGGCTGTGCGGCCCCTGCCCTGAGCAGGCCTGGCTGCCTGTCAGCGTCAGGCACCTGCAGGCCTCTGCCCGGACTCCCTGTGCACCCTAAAACCATTTGGGGTACAAAAGCCCCTTAGCGGCCTGCAAAAACATACCCCATCTTGCTCAGAGCTGACGAGGTCAGAAAACGCTCTCCAGCAGCGGCCAGAGACTGTTTTCTGTCAAGAACCAGACAGTAAATATTTTGGGCACTGCAGGCCACAAAGTCTGCCAGTCACTCAACTTTGTGGTTAGAACTTGAAAGAAACTATAAACAAGACAGCAATGACTGTGTGTTGCTATATCCCACTAAAATTGTATTTAGGGACACTAAAATCTGAATTTCATAGAATTTTCATGTGTTAGGAAATAGTGTTCTTTGGAATTTTGACAACTATTTAAAAATGTCAAAACCGATCTTAGCTCATGGGCTGTACAAAAAAAGAGGGATTTAGCTTGTGGCTGTGGTTTGACAACCCCTTCTCTAAACTCAACCATGTCTGTCCTCTGCCTGAAACCTTCAATGGCTCCCCATTGCCTATAAGATAAAGCCCAAACTCCTCGGCGTGGTCTGCAAGGCCCTTCCATTCTGGTTCTAACCTATACTTCACTTGTCCGCCATGAGGGGGCATTGGTTTTTCACGTCCCTGTCCCCGCTGAATGAGTGGCAGTCCGCAGGACTGCTCAGAGCCTGGGCCAATTCATAGAAACAATAACAACGACAGTCGCAGTAATAGTAACGGCGAAGATTCCCTGTGCCAGGCACTGTTCCTCTATCGACTCACCAGATCCTCACTGTAACCCTAGGAAGTGGGACTGGTTCTATGCCCGTTTTACAGATAAGGAAACTGAGGCAAAGAGCGTTAACTAACTTGCTCAAGCTAAAGCTGCTAACAGGGTGGAGTGGCGTCTGAACCCTGCAGCCTGGCGCAGAGCCGGCGCTGGGCTGCTTCTCCCACTGGGTGTCCTTCCCCCCTCGCTGCCATCCACGCCCCGCAGCTCACCACGCACCTGCCCGCCCCACAGGCACTGGGCTCTGCGCTGGGGCTGCCACGGCACACAGGGTGGCCACAGTCCCTGCCCTGGGGACCCCTGCAGTCCAGTCCAGAAGGGGCCAGGCGGCAGGGGCCCTGCCCATCTGGAGGGGACAATGGCCCTGTGGCTCTGGCAGGCCATTGGCACTTGTGGATCTTTTATGGAAAAGTGACTTGCTTTTTAGACCTTGAAAACTAAGTCAAAAGTTTAAGAAATCTTGTGCGGTCCTCTTGAATGGTGGCTCTGCCCCGTGCAGCCCTCCTCATGGCTGGGTCTGGGGCTGCGAGAGACGTCCCCTTGGCTCCTTATTGCTGCTCCAGACCATCCTTCCCCCCGTTCCCAAATCTAGTTTCTCAGCTGTGCCACCAGCCCCTGCCCAGGTCGCACCCCCAGTTTGTGCAGGAGGTTACTCAGCTCCCTGCCACTCTCCCCATCACCTTTCCTGTCCTACTTCATTCAGGGGACCAGAGTGGTCCCTCCTACCTCCTAGCCTTTCGTCCCTCGCCCTCCTTCTCCACCCCTCCCCTCACTCTCATTCCCATGGGCAGGACCTAGGCCTGTCACCATCAATAACCATCCCAAGCCTCCCACGGGCTCGCCGCCATCTCCTACCTGTCCGGCTCCCTCCCTTGGTACCCTGACTCTACAACGCTCCCACTCACACCCCGCACCAGCTGTTTGCTCCCTTGCACTCACCCTCACGCCCCCACCCCTCTCACGGCGCCGAGACAAACACAGCCCTGGCTGACGCCCACCCACTGGCTCCCACTGGCCCCGGTGTGGCCAGTGTGCTGGAGAGAAGCGCAGCCGTGCCCCCAGTTCAAATTCACAGCCACAGACCCAGTGGCGCCCTTGACGTTGCTGGCACTCCCGCGCTTCAGAGCAACGACCACTTCCCACCTGCTCCTCTCTCCCCTTGGCCCCCACCCTCACCCCTGGCTCATGACCTGGCTTCCTTTTACTGAGAAATTGGAAGCACCCACGACAGAAACTTCTAGTTTCCATGAGGTATCTCCCCCCCATGTCCACTGCCCTGCCCCTAGCTGAGCCGCCCCTCCGCTGGGCACCAGACCCCTCTCTCACTCAAGGACATCTCTCCAGCAAGTCTCCCCTCTCTCCTGCATCATCTGTATTTCCCTCCCTCCCAGGTGACTCCCATCAGCTTATCAAGATGCTCTTTTCTTTTCCCTTTCTATCCTAAAAAAAATACTAAACCCACCCTTCCTTGCCTCTCCTTGGGCCTTCGGCTGCCGCCCACCCCTCAGCTCCTCCTTACCGGAGCAGCTGCCAAGAGTGGGCTCTCCTTCTGTCTCCCGCTCACCTCCCCATCAAAACGGCAGTGGCTCCAACTTGTCAACTCCAGCGCTCCGCTGCGAGCCCGCCTCCAACGAGCGGCCCTCGCAGGACCATCTCCGGGTTCAGCGCTCCACTCCTGACCAGGCTGGCCCTGCAGGCTCTGGGTCCCTCTCTCCTCCCTGCTCGCACCTTCTCAGACCCCAGGGCTGGCGCCTCCCCTTCTGCCACCCTCTGAAGCCTAGAGCCCCAGGCTCAGCCCAGGTCCCCTCCTGTCCACACTGGCTCCCTGGGCCTCAGAGAACACTATACCAGTGAGTGACAACTCGCATGTGCCTGAATCCTGCGCAGACCCATCCCTTCTAGAAATCTCCATGTGGATGCCACAAGGCACCTCTAACCTGGCTGGCCCAGCTGGGCTCCTGATCCTCCCCGTCCCCCTTAGCTCCATGTCACTTAGGAGCAACCCTGTCCTTCTGAGCGTCCAGGCCAGGTTCCTTGTGGCCATCCTCAACTCCTCGCTTTCCCTCACCCCCACATCCAGTCCAGCAGCAAATCCTGCCAGCTCTACCTTCAGAATAAACCCAGAGTCCAGCTCCTTACCACCTGGACTGCCACCGCCCCAGCACAAGCCGTCCTCCCTCGCAGGGACTCTCACACAGGCTGCGGCCCTGCCACTGCTTTTGCCTATTGCAGACTCAACACAGAGGCCCTGAGGATTCTCTTGAGGCCAAACTCAGATCACCCTGCAGCTGCTCAAAGCCCTATGTTTTCCCTCAAAGTAAAGCCAAAGTCCTTACCTCGGCCTTCAAGGCCTTGCTTGGCTGCCCCCCCCCCCCCCCATTAACTCAATGCATCTCCAGCTTCCCTCCCCTGCCCTCACTGGCCTGGATGGGTGTATCCTGCCCCCAGGGCCTTTGCATGCACCCTTCCCTCCCCACAGATATCTGCGTGGCTCGCCCCACCCATCCCCCTGGTCACTTCCAGCCTTTGCCTAAATACTGCCTCTTAGCAAGGCGACCCTGACCACCTCCTTTAAAGTCACTCCCCCAGGCCCCCGGTACCCCGAATTCAAATGAGAAAGTCCAGACTGGCGTGCTGCCCCCAGCCGTGTCATCCGTGTCATCTTCTAACGCGCTATGTCATTTTCTGGTTTATGGCTTGCCAGCCCCCCCCCCCCACCACCGGCGACAGTGTAGGCACCACGAGAGCAAGGACTTTTATCTCTTCTGTTACTGATGTGCCCCTGGCAGCTGCACCAGCACGTGGCACGTATTAAGCACGTGATACAGAGGATGAGGAGGAACAGTCAGGTGGGGGCAGGGGGGCAGAAAACAGCAAGTGCAAAGATCTGGAAGTTAAGGCTGGTGGAGTTCCTCCGACAGTGTGGGAGAGGCCTGGGGAGGAGGCCTCAGGAGGGGGCCATCTAGGCTTCAGCAGGCCAGGGCCATGATTTTTCTTCCCAGAAGATCTCTCTGGTGGTTCCAGGGGCCAAGGCTGGTGCTGGGCACTGGGGAGGTGGGATCCCCAAGAAATGCCCACTGCCCTCCCGGGCCAGTGCCCATCCTGCCATCTTGGCGCTGGGCCTCCCTGGGGAGCTTGGAGGGCGGCCTGTGCTTCCCCACCCCCACACAGACCCACTGCCCTGGAGGGCTGTCTGCCTCTTGAGCTCACCCGCCCCTGGCAACCTGCGAGGATAGGCCCGGCTTGGCTGTGAGCCACAGGGCGGGAAGGAACATTCTAGGGACTAGGAGGCCCATCCCAGGGAAAGCACTAGCCTGGGGCCTCGAAATCTGGAGCCTTCCAGCCCTGCTTCTTAGCAAAGGAAACGCCAAGCAAGTGTGACCTTAGGCAAGTCACTTCCCATTTCTGGCTCACTGCCTGCCTCTCAGATTTCTGTCCTGGCCCTTCACTAACAGCCACATTCTTTGAGCATTTACTCAGCACCGGCGCTATAATTGCTTCCTATATATTCCTGCTAATCATCCCAACAGCCCTGCAATGGCGCTGATTAACTGCTCTGTTTTAACAGAAGAGGAAACTGAGGCACAGAGAGGTTAGGGACTTACTCAAAGTCACCCAGTGAGTGTGGAGGTGGCCGGGGTGCGGGGAGCTCCTGACCTGAGGGCAAGGTGGGCAGGCAAGTGGTTGTGTTTGGGGGTGCCTACCTCCATGGTGGCTGCTGCTGGCCGGCTGCCCCTGCTGGTGACCAGCTTCCCCCAGGAGGCCTGGGGCTGTCCGCTGGTGCCTGACCGGGTCTGAGGGCCAGTCCCCCGTAGGGCTGGGGCCCAGGCCCCTATCTGCAGGGCTGGAGTCTTCTGGCTCACTCTGCTCAAACTCTGGGATCTGGAACATGCTCTGGGCTGTAGGGGCAAGATGGTAGGTAGTTAGGCCACGCTCTCGGGCAAACGGTGGCCGGTGGGGGTGGTAGGAGGGTAAAGGCAGTCTCCTTTGGCCCCCTCTCCCACCTTAGAGCCCCAGGTCAGCCCTGCCTCCCAGGCCCCCATTTGGCCGCTGAATCTGGCCGGGCAGGAAGCTCAGATTGTCCACCCAGGACCTAAATCTCCTCTCGGAGCCCTGGTGCGGTGGCGCAGCCCCAGGCCCCTACCCAGGCCCCGGCCTGACCCGCCCGTGTGACCGCACACAGGTCTCACCCCAAGCCCGAGCTGGAGGCCCTGACCCGGGCCAGCCGCCGCCGCCTCCCTCTAACACAGAGGGAGCCCGGCCCTAGTTGCCTGGGCAACGGAAACTGTCACCGACCCGGCCCAATGAGCTCTCGAAATGTCACTAGGGCTGGCCGGGAGGCGGGGCCGCTCCCGGCCCGGGCCCCGCCCCCGCCGCCGGACCGGCTCTCCGCCCCCCGCCTTCCTTCCTGGGTCCCCTCCTCGTCTCCGGATGCTCGGCTGTCGACTTCCTCGTGCCCTGGGCGTGTGTGGGAGCAGGGGAGGGGTTCTCTGGGGTCCCCATGGGGAACCTGGAGACCAGCTTCTGCTGACAAGTCCTTCGGCCCCTCTGGGCCTTAGTCCCTACCCCTGTAAAAGGGGGACAATGACACCTCCCTCCGGAGGCAGTGAGCGTTATAAACCGAGTGGTGATTCCTGTGGGTGAAAGCACTTGGCAAAGCCGTCACTGAAGCTCAGCCGCCAGATGCGACTGTCGTTGCTACTGTCACTGTTCCATCTAGAAGGGTGGCCGGGTCGGGAAGTCCCGCGCCCTCCGCCTCCCCCCGTGGGAGCCTCCCACCGCCCGCAGCAGGGGCACCCCTCCCCGTGCCAGCGCGGGAGCCCTGGAGATAAGCGAGGGAGCCTCCTCCCTGGCGGGATGGCTGCCCCGGCGCAGGAGAGGGGACAGGGTCCCCTGTGCGGGTGACCGTAGACCTCGCGGGGGCTTGCCGCCTGGCAGGCGGCCGGCCAGGTGAGCGGGAGCCGCGGCCGGCCAGGGCGTGGGGCGGCGGGCAGCGAGGGGACTGCGGGGACAGCGGCGAGGCCCAGGGGGCGGGGCCCGGGGGCCATCTTGGCTGTGGGCGGAAGTTTCCTTCAGGGACCGGGTGAGGGGAAGTCGTTGCCGCCCCCAGCCGGGAGGCGCGAACTCGGTTTGAGGATGAGGAAGAGCAGCATGGGGACTGGCGGCCCCCGAGACCAGCACGGGCCGCTGGCCCCGGGCACGGCCCACCCGGGCGCCCGCCGGATGTGGCGCGGCCCCAGCGTCCCGGCCGCCCGCCGCCTCTCGTAACCCCGGGCGCCCGCCGGCGGCGTAGCCCGCGCCCATTCTCGAACGGCTCCGCGCCGGGCGCGGCGCCCGGCTGCGCAGCCGGGGCCAGACCCTGCGCAATTTGCGTAGCGAACGGCGCCCGCGCAGGCGCAAGAGGGGGCGGAGCAGCGGGAGCCGGGGAGCCGGAGCCCCGGGTCCCAGCGACCGGAGCCGGCTCCCCCAGCGGCGGCCTGAGGACCCGGCGTCGGCCTCCTCCCGCCCCCCGCGGCTGGAGCGTGGACGCAGTGGGGGTGGGGTGGAGGCAGCGTCTGGAATCCCGAAGACTGAAGGCAGAGGCCCTCCCCATCCGGATCATTGGAGGGGAGAGAGCCCCCCTTTGGGGAGGGGGAGAGCCGGGCGTTGAACGCCCACTGCAGCGGCCGCTGCCCTGAGCCCACGGGCATCGGCCGGCTCTCCCCCTCCTGTCGGGACGACTCGAGCGACCGGGGACCTCTTTCCTTCAGGCTCTGCGCTCCCCCACCCCGACTCTGGGGTGGCCCAGGGGAGACACCCCCCACCTCCCTCCACTACCCTGGAGAGGAGAGACTGTCCTTCCATGCCCCTGAGTGAGGGGCGCACGCTCCAGGCTGCCCGTGCCCCGCTGCAAGGGCAAGGGCCCCTCTGCTGAGGGGGGAGGGCCCGGTGAGGCGCAACTTCGTCCCTCCTGAGCTCCCCATCTCCGTCTCTGCACCCCGCACCTCCCACCCCTCCGTATTTATTTCCCTGGCCCCCTGCCAGCTCCTCCATCTCTGTCCCCAGGATTCAGGCCTCCCTCCCTGACATGGAGAGTAACCTGTCTGGCCTGGTGCCTGCGGCTGGGCTGGTGCCGGCGCTGCCCCCGGCCGTGACCCTGGGGCTGACTGCGGCCTACACCACGCTCTACGCCCTCCTCTTCTTCTCCGTCTATGCCCAGCTCTGGCTGGTGCTGCTGTATGGGCACAAACGTCTCAGCTACCAGACGGTGTTCCTGGCGCTCTGTCTGCTCTGGGCTGCCCTGCGTACCACCCTCTTCTCCTTCTACTTCCGAGACACCCCCCGTGCCAACCGCCTGGGGCCCCTGCCCTTCTGGCTTCTCTACTGCTGCCCTGTCTGCCTCCAGTTCTTCACACTGACGCTTATGAACCTCTACTTTGCCCAGGTAACCGTGGTCACGGGTCGGGGTGCGCGGTGGGTGGCAAGCTCCAGGAGCCCAGAGGAATGATGGGCATCTCTGCTCCCAGGTGGTGTTCAAGGCCAAGGCGAAGCGTCGGCCAGAGATGAGCCGAGGCTTGTAAGTACTTGGGACACTGGTGGGCTCAGCCCCCAGGCCAGGGGCGGGGAGCAGCCTGGTGTCCATCCCTTCCCCCTCGTAGGGCTGAGGCAAGGACAGCCCTAGGAGCGTTTGTGAAAGAGTTTGGAGAAGTTAGGCACCTGGGGCGATGGCTCAGCAGAGGCGTTGCATGCGTGAAGGGCAATTATAATAGAAACAGTCGTGACGGACTGAGGGGAGAGGGTGCCAGTGCCATCCATGATGGAGGAAAAGCCGGAGGCTGTAGCCCTTGGAAGCTCCAAAGTCAGGCTGCACTTCTGGGTGACCTTGGGCAGCGAGTCTCCTGTCATTTGTATAAGGTTTTCCAGTTTATGAAGAGCTTGCACAAACGTCTTTAATTTTTACAACTTACCCCTGAGACTATTACTATCGGCATTTGAGAGATGAAGAAACTGAGGCCCCGCAGGGTAAAGCAACACATTGAAGCTCAGAGATCTGGCAGAAGGCAGAGCCAGGGCTTAAACCCAGATTTCTGACTCCCAGTCCAGTGCTCCTTCAGCGGTCAGTCACCATCTGACCTCGTTGGGCCTCAGTTTCCCCATCTGTAAGACTGGAGGGGCAGTCTTCAGACTGAATTGGTTCTGATTGGCCGAGGACCTCCTGGGGGAGGTGGGGTGGTTGAGCACCCAGGGCCGTCATCTGGGGCTGACTGTCCTGTGGGCCGCAGGCTGGCCGTCCGAGGGGCCTTCGTGGGGGCCTCGCTGCTCTTTCTGCTGGTGAATGTGCTCTGTGCTGTGCTGTCGCGCCGGCGCCGGGCACAGCCCTGGGCCCTCCTGCTGGTGCGAGTCCTGGTGAGCGACTCCCTCTTTGTCATCTGCGCCCTCTCTCTGGCCGCCTGCCTCTGCCTTGTCGCCCGGCGGGCCCCCACCACCAGCATCTACCTGGAGGCCAAGGTAGGGCCACAAGTGCTGGGTGTCCTCTGGGGTCTCTGGGCAGGGTCTTCAGGTTAGAGAGGAGGCTAGAGCCTCCCCTCCCTGAGGGTCCCCTGTTGTCATCCGTGCCAGGGGACCAGTGTGTGTCAGGCGGCCGCGATGGGTGGCGCCATGGTCCTGCTCTATGCCAGCCGGGCCTGCTATAACCTAGCGGCCCTAGCCCTGGCCCCCCGGAGCCGGCTGGACGCCTTTGATTACGACTGGTACAACGTCTCTGACCAGGTGGGCATTTGGCACATCTGCTGCCTCCTTAGTAGCCGTGGCTCCTGGCCCCCTGCTGGCCTGGGCCCTGTCCGGGTGCCCCACCGCACCACTGCGGACTGGCACCAGGCCCTGCCTTCCCACAGGCGGACCTGGTGAATGACCTGGGGAACAAGGGCTACCTGGTGTTTGGCCTCATCCTCTTTGTGTGGGAGCTGCTGCCCACCACCCTGCTGGTGGGCTTCTTCCGGGTGCACCGGCCCCCGCAGGACCTGGTGAGGGCCAGTGGAGAGAAGTGGCTCTGGGAATCCTGGGCTGGCCCCCGGGGCGGGCGGGGGGTGGGGGGGTTTGTGGGAAGCCAGTCGGGGGCAGGAGGAAGCATCCATGGCGGCTTCCTCCCCCAGAGCACCAGCCGCATCCTCAACGGGCAGGTCTTTGGCTCCCGTTCCTATTTCTTCGACCGGGCCGGGCACTGCGAGGATGAGGGCTGCTCCTGGGAGCACAGCCGGGGTGAGAGCACCAGGTAGGAGCCCTGGCCCCGCCTCGGGACCCCTGGGCTCCCCCCACCCCCCATTATAGGTTTCAGTTCCCTTCTGTACCAGGTGAGTTCCCCTCTGGTTTCTTTCTACGTCTTGCCCCAAGATGCAGTTTGCCACGGTCTCAAGGGCTCAAGCTGTGGTCCTGGAGGGCTGGGTCACTGGGCTCTCTTCTAAGGCCCTCCCTCCCCCAGCTCTTGTGAATGTGGCCCTGGTCACTGCCCTGGGGCTGACCCTGTTTCTCTGCCTGCAGCATGTCGGGCAGCCTAGGCTCCGGCAGCTGGTACGGCGCCATCGGGCGGGAGCCAGGCTGGTGCGGGGGCAGCCAGACGCGGACCACTCCTCTGCTCTTCTCCCAGGTGCTGGGACCAGGCGGCCACCACCACAGTCTCTACTCCACCCCACAGACGTGATCCCCCTCCGTTTCCCCCCAGAACACCCACACCCCAGTCCTCCCACCCTAGGCCTCTGTGCCAAGTTCATCTGCCGCTTCTTGCCCAGGATTCTGGGGGCTGTGGCTGCCTCCTCCCCTGGCCGGCTCCTTGCTACTCCTGTCGTAGTGAGCTTCTGCTGTCCCCTAGGATGGGGGCGTGGCCCTGGTTGCCAGATGCCCACAGCACCCTGGCATGACCTGCCACCTCTGCTTCGACACTGGAGCCACCTACCTCTCCTGCATTTGCCACTCAATAAAGTGTCTGTGCCCCACGTCCTTTCATTGGCTGTCAGTTGTCTGCTGTGCATTTCTCACCCTGTCACCTGTTTAGCTGAAGGCTGATCAGACACTGGCCCTTGGAGGGGGCTGCTGGGTAGGGAGAGGGAGGACCCTGCCGGCTGAGGGGGAGGAAGGGCCCTGCTCCCACTCCAGCGCCTCCCGCTTGAACACTTTCTACTCTTTCCTCAAGATCTGTTCCAAATGTCACTTCCTTTAGGAAGCCTTCCATCTCCAGGTCCGGGAACCGTGTCCACCCTTTTGGGTCCCATGGCCCTGTGGTTATGTGGCTATTACACCTCTTGCCCCCCTGTGGACTGGGACTTCTGGAGACCCTGTTTCCTTATCATCATGTCCAACCTGGCCTTCAGGTCCAGGGGCTGGTCCAGGGCCTGTGGAGGAGGAGCTGGCCGGTGACTGAGCAACCCCTATCTCCCCACCAGGTGTGGATTTGGCCAGATGGGTGGGCTGCCCCCACACAGTCTGCCTGGTGGTCCTGGGAGCCTCTAATAGCACAGTCACCGCCCTCTACTGCCACAGCCCTGGCAGATCTGTGCCATGGCTGGGAGTCCTTTATCAGGGGGTCTGTCTCCTGCCCACACACCTGGCTGTCCCAGCTCCTCGGAGTCCCTGGGGCCTAGCACTGAGCCTGTCTTGAAACCTTTAACTTGGAACTCTCCTGGGCAGCAGGCCTTCAGGGCTACTGGAGAGGGACCTGAGACTCAGAGAATCAGCTCGAAGCTGGACAATCACTTTGTCGAAAGGAAAACTGCTAACATTTGTAGGGAACTTTATTGTGGGTGCCAGGCTCTGTGTTGAGCGTTTGCAAATACCGACCTCTTTAATGCCTAGAACCGCACCCTGAGGTGACAATTAATCATCCCTTTTCTGTGAGTGAGAAAGGGCTGACTCCAGAGAGTCTGGTAAGCTGCCTAGGCCCCCTACTGGCAAGGTTGGTCAGCCCTAGAGCCCAGCTTAAAACCACCCACCTAGGGCGGAGGACCCTAGGCAAGAGGAGGGTCTTTGGAGAGATGGGGTCCAAAGTGGGTAAGGGCAGAGAGGGGTGGAGTTCAGGACCCACCAGGGCCCTGGCTCTTCAGGCAGTCGGGGAGGGAGTGCTGGCACCAGTTCCATGCTGGGATGGGCGCAGGGGTGAAGACAAGGGATGGGGAACAGGAGTCGGCGCAGGAGGAGCCCCAGCATGACTTCCCAGAGCTGCGTCCCAACCCCACCTGGGCCACTTCCAGGTTGCCTCAGTGGATCCTCCACCCTTCTGTCCCACGGGGTCTCGTCTCTCATAAGTGCTGCGCCCAAAGGCCAGGCTGTCCCCAGGGGCGGGGAGTTGAGGGCCCTTCCGTCCGGCAGTGGGCCTGGGAGATGCTGAGAGCTTAGCGTGGCGCCTGGCCGGAGAGGTGAGCCGGCTGATGTCCAGGCCGGGGCCTTACCGCTGGCCACGCTGGCTGGCCGGCGGGGCAGTGCCAGGGCTCTGGTCTGAGACTCCAGGCCCACCCAAGCGGCGACCCCTCTCGGATTCCTCTGACACTCACCTCCCGGGACCGGCCGGGACTGGGGGGCTGGGCGGCCGCAGGTAAGAGGCTGGGGGGGCGGCGCCGGCGGCGAGGGCGCGGCACCTAGGGAGGCGCGGCGCTGGAGGGGTTAAACGCCGGAGGAGGGGGGCTTCTGGCGGCGGGAGGGGGGGGTCCCAGCCCCGGCGGCCGCCCGCTCCGCCCCTGCCGCCGCCGCCGCCTCCGCGGCCCAGCCGGCACCGGCGAGGCCGCGCGGGAGCCCGGGCCGCAGCCGCAGCCGCAGCGGAGCCGACAGTGAGTGCGGGGCGGAGAGGGCGGGCGCGCGGAGACGGGCGCGGGGAGGCGGGCAGGAGTCCGGGCAGGGGCGCGCGGGGGGCCGCCGGCCGGGCGGGGCGCCCCCCTCCCGCGCGTGGGCGCCTCCGGGAGTGATGCGGCCGCGCGTCCCGCCGCCCGTCACGCTCCGAGGCGTCTGCGTGAAGACGCGGGGAGGCGGTGGGAGCGAGCGGCGGCTGTGCAGTGCGTCTGGGCGGCAGGCGCTGCGCGGTGGCCCGCGGTCTGTGTGTACGCGAGGGGGTGCACACGTGTGCGTGGACCTCTGGGTTGCCTCGGCCCGGCGCGCACGCCCCTGGGGGTCCGGTGTGGCCGGGAGTCTGGAGAGCGTGCAGGTGGAGTGTGTGCGTGCTGCCTGGGCAGCGGGCTGGAGCCGCAGGGTGGAGCACGGGCGCGCGGGTCTTTGTGCCCGCGTGTGTGCGCGTGGGCACGGCCGCCGGCTGTCCCGGGGGCTGACAGCTGTCCCGGGGGATGCTGCACTGGTCCAGCCTTTGTCGCCCCCGCCCTGCTCCTTCTTAGAACCCAGCACCCTCCCTTCCCCCCGCCCTGCCTCGCCCCTGCGCAGCGACCGGGACCGCCCCTGGGTTCCTCGAAAGCCCAGCGGGGAGCTGGGGGACCATGGAGGGTCCCCACCCGGCCCAACGGGGCTAGCAGCGGATCGGGGAGAGCAGGAGGGGAGGGAGAAGCCGCGAAGATGCTGCCGCAGCCGCCGCGGACGAGCCGGACCCGCCATCCCCATCCTCACCCGGCGCGGTCCGAGTCCGGCCTCTCTGCCCGCTTTCCCTTCGCGCGTCTCCGCGCCCCCCTGCCTCCTCCTGGAAGGCTGGTTCCCCACGCCCCCTCCAGGCCCCGGCTTCTCCTTGCTCGCCCTGCCTCTCCCTCAGCAGGCTCAGTCTCTCTCCCTTCCACTCTCCTTCCTTCCCTTTCTGGTGCCCTCTTCTCTTCTCACACCCTGGAGTCCCCGCACAGGGGCTGAGGGCCGGGCAGTGGAGGTAAGGGGGAGGACAAAGGTGGGGTGGGGGGGACTGGGTGTGTCCTAGTACCCAGTGTCCAACCGGAGGGATGTGAGAAGAAGACGTCTGTGGGCGGCAGGGCTGGGGGCTCCAAGGACCTTTGGGTGTGTAGGGGTTGGAGAAAGAGGGTGTAGGGGTGTCAGGCCAGGTGACTGATCACAGCATCCCTGGTTCTGCCCGCAGTGACCGCAGCTCCCCAGGAGCCCCCTGCCCGGCCTCCCCAGGCGGGCAGTGGAACTGGCCGGGCTCCTGGGCGCGCCATGCGCAGCACCACACTACTGGCCCTGCTGGCGCTGGTCCTGCTGTACTTGGTGTCCGGTGCCCTGGTGTTCCAGGCCCTGGAGCAGCCCCACGAGCAGCAGGCTCAGAGGGAGCTGGGTGAGGTCCGAGAGAAGTTCCTGAGAGCCCATCCCTGTGTGAGCGACCCGGACCTGGGGCTCTTCATCAAGGTGCGTGGGTGGGCCAGAGCCCCTTTGCCGTCACCCATGACCCCCTGGCACTAGCTGCATGCCGGTGGGGCCGTGTGCTGGGGTGCTGCTTCCAGATCGACACCCCTGAGGGCAGGCTGCAGGGCAGACGCTGGGATCCAGGCCTCTGTTTTCAATATGGCGGCCATGGGGCCATTTATTTCCTTGCTGTGCCTGGCTTCGGCCTGTCCTCCTGGCCCATCTCCTTCCGCGTGTGATGATCGTTCCATAAAGGAACGCCTGATGGAGGAAATGAATAAATCGCTGTAGCACATGAAATATGTTACATTTTCGCAGATCTAACTCACGGGCTTAGGATTGCCAGATGAAATCCAGGACACCCAGTGAAATGTGAATTTCAGCAGAACAACCAATACTTTTTAAATATAAATATGTCCCATGAAATATTTTTAGTTGCTAAATCTGGCAACCCTACACTGCTTCCTATACTTCTTTGAAGTCACAGATGCCTTAGAGAAGCCCAAGAACACTGTGAACACTCCCCTACCGGCAAGGAAAAGTGCGCATATAAACATGTACAGATGATTCCAGAGAGTTCCAAGACGCCCTAAAGGCGGTCCATGCCACCATGGATGCCAGGTTAAGCAACCTTTCCCCCCAGAACACGTGCTTATGATGTGGAGGCTAGAGTGAGGGCAAGATGGGGTCTGCTTTGGTCCAGTGACTAAAGAAAGTGCTAAGCTTCAGCCTTCTGGGGGACTCTCAGGGAAGCCCCTCTGTGGCTGTCTCTGATTTCTGAGTCACCGTCACATTAAAAAAAACAAGATTCAACTTTAATAAATTAACGTTCATTACTTTATTAAAGAGTACCCCTCTTTTCTGCCTGTTCTTTTGGAGGGAGGAGCCATCACTGTGGAGGTCTCGGTGACCCAGCAGACTCCCAAGGGGGCAGGACCCGGAGCAGAGATGAGGGTGGGTGGGGTCAGGACACAGGCCACTTGACTTTGCCTCTGACACTTCCAGAATGCCAAGCAAGTCTCAGAGAGGCCTGGGCAGGAGAGTGTGTGTGGCCAGACCACAGGGCAGAGGGAGGGAGGGAATCTGACCTATTTTATCTTCACAATGGAATTGCTTTTTTCTTGGATAGAAAGCTAGAAGGGTGGGTGACACCTGCTTTATTTCTCTTCCCCAGTTGGTCCTGCAGCAATTATGCCCCTACTGTGTGCTAGGTGCTGTGTTATCCAACATAGGGTAAGCAGGAAAGTTGATATCGGGGTGGAACAGATGCAGGCTCTGCCTTGGAGGATGTCACATCTTAGGCGAGGGGACAGATCGATGGAGAGAAAGATCACTGTAGGATGCAGCAGGAAAAAAAAAGAGCTTTCCTTACTCCCTTCTTGGTTAAACATCTATTTGGGGTTGGGCTCTGGGGCTAGGTGCTGGGGGCAAGGAGGGAGACGCCGGGGGCCTTTGAGAAGAGCTGGCGATTGAAATGAGGCAGGTGAGATGGGTAGAAATTAAAGATGTGTGATTGGGTTGCAAGAGGCTTGCAGGCAGAGGAGCAGCATGAGCAAAGCTGGAAGCTGGAAAGCTCAGTGTTGTGCAGAATTCGGATTTCGCAGATGCCTAGTCATTTGAAGTAAAAATTAGAACACACAGGATGACAAAGTATTTTTTTTTGCCCTTAAGTAGTGAATTTATTGGAAAAGTGTTGCAAAATAAAATCACTTTTAAGCATACATTTCACTTTTTGGCTTTATTAAAAAAAATCACAGGCAATGGGATCGTCTCGGAGAATCTGGGGATGAGGTCACTGTCACTTGGCTTCCCAAATGGGAGTCCCTGGAGAGAAGACTGGGGAAAGTGAGGTTGGGGCCAGATTGGAAAATGGCTTCAACACTGGGCTGGGGAGTTTGGAGCCTGTCCTGCAGACGGCTGGAGGCTCTGAGCAGTCATTCTAGGCAGATTAATCTTGCTAATGAGGGCTGCAGTCAAAGAGAGGGGAGGCGCTTTATGGCTCCCACCACACCCACTACCTTTGTGCCTTCACTCAGTGCTCCTGGGGGAAGGGCCCCTCTGCACCCCCTCCTCCTTATCCCCTCACCTCTGTCACTGTGGACAGGCTCTCTCAAAACACAGACTCTGCCCGTAAGGGACCTGCAGGCTGGCAAGAGAGGCAGGCGTGTGGCCATCTCATTAATTTAATCATCTTTATTGAGTACCTACTATATAACACAGGGTTTGGCTTGGACTTCAGTGGGGCAGGCAGGGGTTCAGGTGTCCATGAACCTCGGTAAAATTGGATGCAAAATTTATTGATGGTGTATGAACCTTCCTGGAGGGAGGGTCCCTGACTTCCACCAGATTTTCTAAGGCAAGGGACTCAGACAGCTTTCACAGGGGCAGTGGGAGTGGTGGGATCTGTGGAAAGCTGGAAATCACCGAGCTAGGTGGGGAGCGACCTAACAAACGTGCACTGCAGACTATGCTGTAAGAGACTGACTTCTTCCCAACCGCTCTGTGAGGTCGCTGCTGTGATCATGGGCCCCATTTGATAGATGAAGCTGAGGCACGGAGGGACCTTGCCCAAGGTCACCTAGCACCCAGATTTGAACCCGGGCAATTTGGACCCAGAGTCTGTGCTCATGACCACTGTAAAACTGGAATTCTGTTGTGCGAAATTTGGGGGCCCCCGAGAAGTCCAATGTTTCTAAGACAGTGCGGAGGTCAAACAAAAGTGGGCCACCCAGTCGGCAAGGTCTGCTCTGAGGGACTGCCTTCAGGGAGGCCAGAGGGAAAGGGAGAGATGGGAGGGGTAGGAAGGGAAGCACCCTGGAGACTGGAGGGCCGGGAGGTGGCCAGAACAGGAGGGAAGGGCTGAGGTTCCTCCTTTTGCGCCTTGTCCTGCAGGAAGTGGCTGATGCCCTGGGAGGGGGTGCGAACCCTGACACCAACTCAACCAGTAACAGCAACCACTCAGCCTGGGACCTGGGCAGCGCTTTCTTCTTCTCAGGCACCATCATCACCACCATCGGTGGGGGAGGAGGCTGGGCATGCAGAGGGGGTCGAAGGGCAGCGGGGCTGTCTCCTGGGGGAAGGCACAGCGGGAAGAGGGGGGTGTCAGGCTGCCCCTAGACCTCCTGCACGGCCCCTCTGCCCAGGCTACGGCAACGCGGCCCTGCGCACGGATGCCGGGCGCATCTTCTGCATCTTTTATGCTCTGGTGGGGATCCCGCTGTTCGGGATCCTGCTGGCAGGGGTCGGGGACCGGCTGGGCTCCTCCCTGCGCCGCGGCATTGGTCACATCGAAGCCATCTTCCTGGTGAGCTGCCCCTCGCCCTTACGTTGGGCTGGCACGTGAACGCGGCCCGAGATCGCAGGAGCCTGGCGCTCAGGCTCCTGGACGAGGGGGTGGGGGTGAGAGTGGAGGTTTTGGCGACTCCTCTGTCCTGCCTACTGCCCCTCCCTGCAGAAGTGGCATGTGCCACCAGAGCTGGTGCGAGTGCTCTCCGCGGTGCTCTTCCTGCTGGTCGGCTGCCTGCTCTTTGTCCTCACGCCCACCTTTGTGTTCTGCTACGTGGAGGGCTGGAGCAAGCTGGAGGCCATCTACTTTGTCGTAGTGACGCTCACTACCGTGGGCTTCGGGGACTATGTGGCCGGTGAGGCCACCTTTCTCGTGCTGCACTTCCTTACCCACTTCATTCCTGCCAGGGGCTGAGCACGCCTGCATCTCCCTCCAAATTCCACACGGCAACTGTGCGCTTACACGCACAGTCGGATGGCTCCAACCCCTACCTCCACTCACGGAATGCACCCTCACATTTTTGCACGGATGCAACACCTCATGCACACCTACATTCTTGCATGGCTGCGCCCCCATGCATGCTCCCACATATATTAAGTGCACCGCTCACGTACACTCACATTCTTGCACTTGAGCAACCCCACTTGCATGTTCTTATCTTGCACAACTTCAAGTCATGCACACTCATCTTCTTGCATGCTTTTACAGGCTCTTTCACACACATTGCCCTGGGGAGGGTGGTTCCTCTCAATGATCTGGGAAGTGGGCAGCCAACTAGCGGCTCACCGGCTCCCCGCCTGCCCCACACTCAGCTTCTTTCTGTGCTCCCCGTGGTACCCCAGGCGCCAGCCCCAACCAGAACTCAGCAGCCTACCAGCCGCTGGTGTGGTTCTGGATCCTGCTCGGCCTGGCATACTTCGCCTCCGTGCTCACCACCATCGGGAACTGGCTGCGAGTAGTGTCCCGGCGCACCCGGGCAGAGGTAGGCGCCCCCGGTAGTCACCGGGCCTGGGCCGTGATGCTGCCGCGCGGTACCTGGCAGCTGGTTGACCAGCCTGCCTCCCTTCCAGAGTGTGGGCTCCGCCAGGAAGGGACTGAATGAGCCCCACTGTGCACAGGGCGGGCGAGAAAGGGATAAACTCAGGTTTGCAGGTGACTCCATCTCTGCTGTCAGATAGGGTTGTCAGATTTAGCAAATAAAAATGCAGGAAGCCCATTTTGTCGCCGTGCTCGTTGCGACCGTCTGAGGAGCTGGATGGAGGCGTAAAGGTCTCTGGGGCGCCGGAGGGAGAGCTGAAATAAAACTGGCTCTTTCCTGAAAAGGTCCTGAAGAAGAGGGCGCTTCGGGGCCATGGAGGAGGGGAGAGCATGAGGCTGGGTGATGAGCCTGTCCCTCCTCGGGCGGGCTGAGGCAGTAGGACCAGGTGGAAAAGAGGGGCGATGCTTGATTGGCGAAGGGGCGGGCTTCCGGGGTTGCGGACGCAGTGGAGACCCCGGGTCGAGGACGGCCTTTCTTCCTCGCGCAGATGGGTGGCCTCACGGCGCAGGCCGCCAGCTGGACCGGCACCGTGACGGCGCGGGTGACCCAGCGAGCCGGGCCCGCCGCCCCACCGCCGCCGGAGAAGGAGCGGCCACCGCTGCCTCCACTGCCGTGCCCAGCGCAGCCCGCCGGCAGGCCCCTGTCCCCCGCGCCCCCGGAGAAGGCCGAGCCGCCCTCTCCGCCCACGGCCTCGGCGCTGGATTACCCCAGCGAGAACCTGGCCTTCATCGACGAGTCATCGGACACGCAGAGCGAGCGCGGCTGCGCGCTGCCCCGCGCGCCACGGGGTCGCCGCCGCCCCCCCAATCCTCCGAGGAAGCCTGCGCGGCCCCGGGGCCCCGGGCGCGCCCGGGACAAAGGCGTATCCGACTAGGGGCAGGACCCCAGGCCCGGGCCTCTCAAAGGGCTTCGTTCGTGCTCTCTCCCTGGCATGCTCTGCTTGTTTGACCAAAGAGCCCTCTCGAGCGGACTGAAGCCTGGGGAGGAGGCTGCGGGTTGCTTGTCGGCCGCCTCCCCCTGCTCCCGGCCCTCTCCTCACTTCCTCCATTTCCAGACCCCCAAGGCTTTGTGTCTCGCTGTCCTGGCTGGGCCCGTCCCTCATCACACCTCACGCCTGTGCCTCAAAGCCTGCATCAATAAATGAAAACAGTCTGCACCACTGCGGGCGTGCCGGCTCCGGGGGACGCGTGGGTGTGGGAGTGCTAGCGTCTGGTCACCTCCGGGGCGAGTCAGGCCTCCCGTGACCCCCACGCCGAGCCCCCGCTCCTGCACCCACGTCGTTCAAGGCGTAGCCCTCTTGGCCGTGCTCCGGCCGGCGTCTCTGCCTGGAGGCCACCGGGTAGGGTCCGGCATGGGAATCTGCGAAGATGGGCTGTGCATCTCCAAGCTCAGCACAGCTCTTAGGGGGCTGGGGGGCGGGGTGGGGCAAAGAAACGCATCTGGTGTGGGGGTCTGTAGCTTGAACTTTCCCTGCGCGAGACACCCATCGCCATTCCGGAGCGGGACCCTGCCCCTCCCCCTTCCTGGAGCGTGACCCCCTCCTCCTCGCCCCGAGGCCTCTGGCGACTGGGTCCGTTGGGGCAGAACCATGGAGGACAAGCCTTTGAAAGTAAGAACTCTTCGCGGGCCCCCTCACCCTGTCAGCCCCCAGACTCACCCTAGGTCCAACCTGGGCCCCTGGCTATCCTCCCGCTCAGCCTTGGCTCCGGGCAGCCCCCAACAATCCCCACGCCCCACGGAGTCCTGGCCCTGGCAGGGCTCAGGATCCCCGCCCCCAGCCTGCTCCTCCTCCCCTCCCAACTCCCCGCGACCCTCGGCTTCCCTTGTTGTATGTGGCCCACAGGCCTTGGACAAGTCTTCGGGCCACCGTGCCTCAGGCAAGTCGAGCCAGCAGGACATCCGGAATCTATGGACCACGGCCACGCTGTCGCAGCCGAAGCTGAACGTGGCGCTGTCCGATGTCTGCGAGGACTCGGAGGGCAGCAGCGTGAGCAGCAGGACCCGCCGGTGGCGCAAGCAGACGGCCGGCCACGACTGGGACGCCAGCTGGGAAGCGTTGGAGGACAGAAAGGACAAGGACAGCTTCAAGCAAGAGGAGCTGGATGAGCACTCCTTGCTGGAGCTGGAGATGCGCCTCGACAGCTCCGTGGGAAGCCATGTAGAGGACGACGACGAGTCCAGGACCGGTCAGTGTGGCCTCACTGGGCGGTGGGCGCCCTCAGCCCAGGGGCCTGGCCAGGGCCTCAATTTGTGTTGCTGTAAAATGAGGGGCAGCTGTAGGATCCGATTTTCCAGGATTCCCTGGGAGGGGTTCATCACCAGCGCTCATCTCGCAAACTTTAAGTCAACCGGACATTCTTGGAGCGCCCCCTACCGGGCAGGCGTCATACAATGGTCTGTGGTCTGGAGAGACGCGCCAAAAAACTGGCAAAGGCTGCGCGCTAGGACCCGGGCTTTTAATGGAATCACCGGGAGAGTTGAGAGGAGGGAGTTAATTCCTTGTCTATGGATTTGAGCTGGTTGAGGAGGTGCTTGTCCTTCATTCATTTAACCATTGGTTACAATTTATAAGTACTTCGTGCTGGGCACTGTTTTGAACTCGCCGCCCCCCCCCCCCCCCCCCCCCCCCCCCCCCCCCCCCCCCCGCCCCGCCCCGCCCTCCCCCGTCCTTCGTCACGGAACTGGAGCCGATAACAATATAATAACTGCCATTTATTGAGTCCTTGCTGTGTACCAGGCATGGGCTTCCCTTGCACGATCACCTTTGAACTTCACAACCTCCACAAGGGGCCATTCTGATGACCCCATTTTATAGATGAAGAACTTGAGGGTCAGAAAGTTTGTCACTGTCCCTAAGCCTCCCACAGTGGGGCAGTGTGGAACCTTGGTGGGTGGGACAATAAAGCCCAGGGTTGTAAACCACTGTCCTATGTTTCCCACTAAGGTGGCAGCTGGAGCTGGTCTCCCCCCCTCCCCCATGCCTACCTATCTCCTCTGCTCCTAGGAAGACCCAGCAGTCTGCTGATGACCCATCTCTCTTCTCTCTTCTCCCAGAAAAGCCTTCCTCAGTGTCATCGTTCAATATTGCGAAGCACACACACCATCGAGCCTACTGGATGGAGCAGCACAACAGGGTTGGAGGCACCTGGGGGGGGGGGGAGACTAGGGGTTTCAGTGGGGTGGGGGACGGGCAAGCTGGGAGTTGCAGGGGTGAAGGGGTGGAGGTGATTTGTAGGGTGGAGGCAGGTTGGTTGGGGGTCTTGGGGCTGGAGGGAGAAGGTGGGGCAGGCACTTCAGCTGTGAGCACAGCTGGGGTCCCTTGGACATCTGAACTTCTTGCTGCCTCTCCAGCTGCCACTGCCCCTGATAGAACTCATGGAGAATGAAGCTCTGGAAATCCTCACCAAAGCCTTCCGGAGTGAGCCCTACCCCCAGCTCCCGCTACAGACCCTGGGGGACTGTGCAGGGCTTGGGTCTGTGGGAGTGGGGTTTCGGGCTGTGTCAGCTTCGTGAGATTCCCTTACCACCCACAAAGTTTCCAGGAGCCCCACGAAAAGTAAAAAAGTCAGGGGACCGCCCGGGGCATAGTGGTTAAGTTCACGTGCTCTGCTTCAGTGGCCTAGGGTTTGAGGGTTCATATCCTAGGTGTGGACCTACACCACTTGTCAAGTCAGGCTGTGGTGGCGACCCGCACACAAAATACAGGAAGACTGGCACAGATGTTAGCTCAGGGCTAATCTTCTCCACCAAAAAAAAAGTAAAATGTTGGAGACCCATTGGGGAGAGCATGGGGTGACCATCAAGGGTGTAACTCCAGCCTTAGTGCAGCCCCTCTCTAGCTGATATGGCTTTTCTAAGGCTGTTTCTCCACCTGCCCTTTGGGCCTTTGTGTGGCCTTGGCCCCCTCCCTGGGTGCTGTGACGAGCCTTTGGACAGTGGATTATTTGAGTAAACCTCCCCTGGTTTGCCCTGCTTATGATATGAAGGGGGAGGGGACCTGGCTAATGGCTTAGAGTAGGCGGTCCAGGAGGTGTCTGCAAGGTTCAGGCCTGCAACATCTTCTCTAACCATGCCCTCATCCATTCTCCACCTCAACATCCCTATCCTGCTCTGCATCCCCGTTTGGAGCACAGATCTATGACTTGACCGTTTGAAATAAACAAAACCGGCCAAGGCTCAGTACTTTGGAGATCCAAAGTTCCCCAAACTAACACAGACCCGAGCGCCAAGCGCCCCTGCTACCCCAAATCACCCGCGGTTCCTCGAATCACACATGAGGCACCCGCTGCTGGGGAGGCCATGCCCCTGCTCCCTGCCCTGAACGGAGCTCTGCCCTCCAGGCTACCGGTTGGGGATTGGCCGGGACCACTTCCTGACCAAGCAGCTGCAGCGACAGATCGAGGGGCTCAAGAGGCGCCAGAACAAGAGGCTGCACGTCTCGGCGCACTGAGAGCACCGCCTCGGGCTCGAGTGACGGCCCGACTCCGGCCCCGGTCCCTGTCCCGTTCCCAGACCCAAGCTCGACCCTGTCCACGTGGAATTTGGGCCCTAGAGAAATAAAAGAGTCTGTGCATGGTCAGCGAGTCAGTGCGTGGCTGCCCGCGTGAGGCGGACGCACGCGGCCCCGCCTTTCCCCGTGACCTTCACTCAGTCACCGCAGTGACCTTGAGCGTTCTCCGTCCGGGCCGTTTCGGCTCCGCCTTCCCGGGACTCGAAATCCAGGACTTCTTGCACGTTTTAGGTCTGCTTCTCCCAATCAGCAGCTTTGTGGGGAGGGATACTGGGTCTGCGGTCCAAGTGCCCCGATGATGATCTCTTGGGGGAAGGGGAGAAAGAGAAAGGGGCAGCGCCTCCCCTCAAGCTTGAGCAACCTAGGCCCCTCCCCTCATGCATATGCAGATATCCTAGCCTCCCCGCTCGTCCCGCCCCCTAATTTACATATGTATATCTTCTTCCAGTCCCGCAGCTGCGGCCACTGAGCGACCTCGCCCCCTCCTCTCGCGCACAGCGCGCCCCGCCCCCCTCGTTACGAAAGAGCGCTCCTGGCCCCACCCCCTCCCGGAGCCTCTCCGAGCCTCCTCTGGCCACGCCCCCCGGCGGCGCGTACGCAAGTGCGCCGCGGAGGCTCGGCGGCGGCGGGGCGGGACCTTCGTTGGGGCCGGCCCTCTGGCTTCGCCCGCTCCGCCCCGGCTCGTCCGCGCACGCAGGCGCTGCCCACCCCACTTGTCGGATTAGCATAGGCCGCCGGGCCCCGCCCCCTGCTTTGCATGCGCACGGCCGGCCCCGCCCCCGCTGTCAGCTGGAGGAAGCAGAGTAGGAAGCGGCCGCGATGTCCTTTTGTGTCCTACAAGCCGCCGGCGGCGCCGCCGAGTGAGGGGACGCGGCGCGGCGGGGCGGCGCGGCCCGAGGAGGCGGCGGAGGAGGGGCCGCCCGCGGCCCCCGGCTCACCCCGGCGCTCCGTGCCGCTCGGCCCCCATGCCTGCCCGCCCGCCCTGCCGGAGCCCCAGGTCCGGGGGCGGAGGGGAGCGCCGCTGGGGGGTGGGCGGGCGGGGCGCGGGGGCCATGTGCGAGCGCTGCGGGGAAGCGGGCGGGGGCGGGCTCCAGGCGGGGTCCGGCTCTAGGACCGCCCCGGGTCACGGTCGGGACCCTGTCGAGAGCCAGAGGGCGTCAGGGTCCGGGTGGGCTCCGGCGTCCAGGTCGTAGTGCGCCAGCCTGGGGCAGGGGCCGGCTCTGGTTCGGGCTGCAGGTCCTGGCCAGGGTCAGGCTGGGGCCTCGGATCGAGTCCCAGGGCAGGGTTCAATCCGGCACCTGGCGCATGCCGGAGTCCCAGGGGCTGGCCGGGGCGGAAGATGGGGAGGGTCCTCTGCGGGGAAGGGGCTTTGAGGACCACGTGGGGGCGCTCCAAGGGGCCTTGGGCCACCCTCCTCTGTGGGTCAAAGGTCATCGAACCGGCCGGGGAGAACTTCCTTCTCCTTGGAGCTCCCCATTTACTTCCTGATAACCTGATAGAGGTCCCCCGCGGGCGGCGGGGGAGGGGAGGCGCAGCAACTTTAGACAACTTCCCGTAGGTGTGCGCAGGTTGGGGGGGCGGGGCGCCTCGGAGGTGGACGATTCTGCGGCAGCGGGAGTGTAAGAGTGAATGTGCTGGCGGGGGGTGCAAGGAGGTGGAGCCGCGCCTGTGTGCCTGGGATTGGGCGGGCTGGGGCAGGAGGGGGCGGTGTGTCAGGTGTGAAAGGCTCTGAATGTGTTTCCACGAGGGTCTGTGCCTGAGTGTGAGTGTGGGGGCATGGCAAGAATGTAGGAGTGAGTGAGAGTGTGTGTGAGATTATGAGCCTTGAGTGTGACTTTGTTTACCGGGTGTGCACTTTGGGAGGAGTGTGCAAAGACAGATGGGAGCATGGGTGAGAAGTGGGGTGTGGGAAAGGCCATGTGAGAGTAAAGTGCCCAGGAGTGAGCATGTGTGTGCATATGAGGCACCTGGGAACCCAGGCGAATGGGAGTGTGTGAACACACATGTGAGTGCATCAACTGCCCTTGGGTTTGTGTGCCTCAGTTTGTGCTCTTGATTGGAGGATACCCAGGTGAGGGGGAGATCTCCGAGTTCCCCAACATCTGGAGAAAATGGAGAGGTATCTTGCCCCGCTGGGCATTTCAGATGGGGATGAAGGTCACCTGGGGGCTAAGGTTATCTTGCTCCCTGGCCCTGGTGGGAGTAGGGGGTTTCCAGGCCTCCCCAAGGTTCCCAAAAGGGAGACCTGCTGTCAGTTACTGGCCCTGGAGGCTCTGGAGACTCTGTTCCCATGGCAACAGCTAGGGAGGGCCCTCTTCGTGGGCAGCCCTTCCTTGGACTCTGTCCCCCTTCCCTCCCCTGCTGAGCCTGGAGGCCTGGCCCCAGGCCCAGGGTTGGGCAACCAGGGTGGCAGGGTGTCTCTCCATCCCCCATCCCAGTGCCTCCCTGTGACCTCACAGGTCTCTCCCCGCAGGTGACCAGCGCCATGTCCAGCCAGGTGGTGGGCATTGAGCCTCTCTACATCAAGGCAGAGCCAGCCAGCCCCGACAGCCCAAAGGGTTCCTCGGAGACCGAGACCGAGCCCCCCGTGGCCCTGGCCTCTGGCCCAGCTCCCACCCGCTGCCTCCCAGGCCACAAGGAGGAGGAGGATGGGGAGGGCGCTGGGCCTGGCGAGCAGGGTGGTGGGAAGCTGGTACTCAGCTCCCTGCCCAAGCGCCTCTGCCTGGTCTGTGGGGACGTGGCCTCTGGCTACCACTATGGTGTGGCATCCTGTGAGGCCTGCAAAGCCTTCTTCAAGAGGACCATCCAGGGTGAGCCCCCACCCCACTCCTGTGCCCTTTGCCCTCTGGGTCTGGCGCTACCCAGTTGGCACACTGCTGGGTGGCACCAGGCTGCCGTGGTGCCACTGGGTCTTGGCAGCCTGGAGTTTCCAGGCTCTCCTGCCTCCCAGGAATGCCCTTTCCCTTCAAAGTTAAGTAAAGCCACTGGGATGCGTCGATGGATTGGATGTAGGATGTTAGAGACGCCTCCTAGGTCTCTGGGCACTGGAGGCCCAGCCCCTTCCACAGTGGCTCTGAAGAATTCAAAGCAGCCTCTGCTTGCTCCTAAACTTTTCCTGGCAGCTGCTGGCCTCTCACCGGCATAGAACTTGCCCCCCTTTTTGTTGATTTCCCCAAAGCAGCACCAGCACGAGGCAGATTTTTATGGGTAACTGAGAGAGGCCTCATCCTATTTCAGCACCAACCTTTAAAAAGACTCTCAGGCCTCCTGCTAATAGTGCTCACTGAATTTTTCTCACTCAGGAAAGCATATCATGTGATCAAGATGGTGGTGGAATAAGTGTTACTTGGCATGTACCCGTTACTCGTATTTCTGTGTAGACCGTTGGTTACTTTGGGGCTACAACACGTATAATTGTTGAAAACATTTCTTGAGTGCTTACACAGAGCCAGGCACTGTGCCGCTTACGTTTACGATCTCTGTTACCCCCCATCGCACCCTCTAAGGTGCCAGCACCACTATCGTAACTGAGGCCCAGAGAGGGTTTTAAAACTTTGTTCAAATCTCACAGGTAGAAAATGGCAGAACCAGGATTGGAACTTGGGTCAATTTAGGTGCAGGGCTGAGCTCTTAAAAATGCCAGGCTGCCGCCTCTGCTTACTACTAATAACTGAACTTTGGACGGATATCTCACGGCCGATTGTGACATTCGAGCGAGTTTTGACTTGGCCGAGACGTGCTGGTCTAAACCCTCTGTGTTCCCTTCTGGCTCTGAAGACCAGTGAGCCAATGGTCTGGGGCCAGGTGTCTCCTGGAACCCTTCATTCTCTGTTGACTCAGTTGACAAATATTTGTTAAGCACTAGCCATAAATAGTGAGCATTTTTTGAGGTCCTTTGAACCACGCTAAACATGTTACCTTGATTTCTCCTTAAATTCTGATAACCCGCCTTTGTAAGAAAAGAAGTACTGTATTTTTTTTTTTTTGAGGAAGATTAGCCCTGAGCTAACTATTGCTAATCCTCCTCTTTTTGCTGAGGAAGACTGGCCCTGAGCTAACATCCATGCCCATCTTCCTCTACTTTATATGTGGGGTGCCTACCACAGCATGGCTTGCCAAGTGGTGCCATGTTCGCACCCGGGATCCGAACTGGCGAACCCTGGGCTGCCGAGAAGCGGAATGTGAGAACTTAACTGCTGCGCCACTGGGCCGGCCCCAGAAGTACTCTTTTTTATCATCCCAGTTTTACAGATGGGAAAACTGAGGGTTTGAGCACTGGCATAGGGGACTTCAGCAAGGTCAGACAGTTGGTAAGTGGTAGTGTCAGGATGGGCCCCAGGCAGCCTGCAGGGTCTTGCTCTTCCTAAACTTGTGCCTTGCTGTCCTGGCCACTGTTCCAGGCATGGGGACATAGCTGGGACTAAGGCAGGAGCACTCCTGTCCTCAAGCAGTATACATTCTAGCAGAGAGAGAAGAGAAAAAACAATGGATGGCACAAGATTGTTACATGGCAGCTGTGGTAAGTGGAAGGCGAGGAGCAGGGTGTGTGCCAGGGAACCTGGCAGGCTCTGGGGCACCGGAGGGCTTCCCTGAGGAGGTGTCTCAAGCTGAGCTCTGAAGCCCGGGTAGGGTGTAGGAGAAAGCACCCCGGGAGGGATGTGCGCTTAGGTCATGTTGGCTGGTTGTGTCCTTCAGCCCTTGCCGTAGCCCGTGAGGCTGGGAGGGCCACCTCGCACTCCTTCAGCCAGTTATTATGAGCGCCCACTATGTGCCAGGCCCTGTTATAGTGCTGGGGACAGTGCTGGCCCTCGTGGAGCTGACACTAGGGTGGGAGTCTGATAATACAGGAGATAAGTAAGTACATATGTAGCACATTAGATGGTGCTAAGAGCTGATGAGAAACTATGAAGCAGGGCAAGTGGCCCGGAATGTCTGTGGAGGGGCATTTGGCATTCTTGCCGGGTGGCCGGGGAAGGCCTCCCTGAGGTGACAAGGGCCAGAGATGTGAAGGAGGTAAGGCAGCAGCATGCCCTGAGGCAGGGGCCTGTTGGAGGAATGCTGAGGAGGCCCATGGAGCCAGAGCAGAGGGCAACCGGGGGGTGAGGTCAGAAAGGGGGCGCAGAGCAGGGCGTAGGCCTCACAGGCCTCCCTTGGGCTTTTACTTTGAGAGGGGAAGTCACCAGAGGGTTTTGAGCAGAGGAGGGACAGTATCTGACTTCGGTGTTTTTTGGTTTTTTTTTTTGAGTAAGATTAGCCCTGAGCTAACTGCTGCCAACCCTCCTCTTTTTGCTGAGGAAGATTGGCCCTGAGCTAACATCCGTGCCCATCTTCCTCTACTTTATATGTGGGACGCCTGCCACAGCATGGCTTGCCATGCAGTGCCATGTCTACACCCAGGATCTGAACTGGTGAATCCCGCGCCACCGAAGCAGAACGTGTGAACTTAACCGCTGCGCCACCGGGCCGGCCTCTGACTTCGGTTTAATAGGGTTCCCTGGCGCTGTGTTGAGAGCAGGGGCAGAGCAGGAGATGAAGTGACAGTGACTTGCGTTCAGGGTGGAAGCAGTTGCCAAGGACAGAAGGGATCGGCTTCTGAAGCTGCTGGGAGTGAAGCCCACTAGGATTTGCTGATGAGGTGGATTGAGGGGGGAGAGGAATGGAAGATGCCTCCTAGATTTCTGCTTGAGCAACTGGACAGATGGAGTTGCAGGTTTGGAGGGTCGATGGGGGGCTCCATCCGGATGTGTTAAGTTTGCGATGCTTCCAGACCTGCGAGATGTCGAGGAGGCAGAGGATGTGAATCTAGAGCTCGGGCATGTCTAGGCTAGAGAGAGAAATTTGAAAGCCCGTGACTGGGTAATATCAGCCAGGATGCTAACTCAGCCGGGAGGGAGTCCGTGGAGATGAGGTCCGAGGGCAGCCCCGGGTTCCCCATTGGGAGGAGTGTGGAGAGGTGCACAGACACCACAAAGTGGCCAGTGAGCTGGGAGGGAAATCAGGAGTGTGTCCTAGAAATGAAAGAAGAAAAGTGCTTTCAGTGTCTCTAGGAGTCGGACATGATCAACAGTGTTAGATGCTTCTCTAGGCCAAGGGAGACGAGGACAAGAATTGACCACTGGGTGTAGCAACGTAGAGGCCACTGTGGCCCTTGATGAGAGCAGATGAGGGCAGCAGAGCCCGGAGACGTGGCCTGACAAGAGGCTTGGGGCAGTGATGCCGCCTGACTCCCGTGGCCCCGGTGCTTCCCTTCCCCAGCCAGGGGCCCAGCCCAGCGGCCATGCCCCTCGCAGCCCCGGGCTTCCCTGTACACTCACGGCGCTCCTGCTCTCCCCAGACCGGTGCTTGCCCGGGGCGAGGCGGGGCTCTCCTGTCTGCTGGGCCCCCTCTGGGCCCTGGGAGGCGGCCACTGGAGCCCTGCCTCTTCCTGGCAGGGAGCATCGAGTACAGCTGTCCGGCCTCCAATGAGTGCGAGATCACCAAGCGGAGACGCAAGGCCTGCCAGGCCTGTCGCTTCACCAAGTGCCTGCGGGTGGGCATGCTCAAGGAGGGTGAGCACTGGGCAGGGCCTGGGCCAGGGCTGGGGGAGCTGGGCGCATGGGGATGGGGGCCAAGGCCAGGGAAGTCCCGGTGGAATGGACTGGGCAGGAGGGCTCTGCAGCCACCCGCAGCCCATGGACACGGTCCTGTCCTACAATTCCAGGGGTACGTCTGGACCGTGTCCGGGGTGGGCGACAGAAGTACAAGCGGCGGCCAGAGGTGGACCCGCTGCCCTTCCCTGGCCCCTTCCCTGCTGGACCCCTGGCAGTAGCTGGAGGCCCTCGGAAGACAGGTGAGAGCGTCGTGAGTCCCTGGAGCTCGAGGGGTGGGGTGGGGTGGGGCTAGGACGCGGGAGGCCTGTGTGGCTTCATTCACCCAGGAAAGTAGTTATCTTGGACACTGAGACCCAAATGTCCCCTTTATCTATTCACTTCCCCCAAGAAGTATTTACGAAAGGACCTCTTTGTGCGTCAGCCCCCTGAGTAGTACAGCTGGGAACACGGCAGGGTTTTCTAACACCCAGAACCTGTGTGCATCAGTGCTCTCCCTGGGAGATAGTGTGAACCCTTCCTGGAGAGGGGGCTGAGCCTGGCTGGCCAGTGGCTCTTGAGGGCCACCCGGAGCCTGGCTCTGGGAAGATGCTTGACCCTCGAAGGGCCTGCAAGGTGATGAGTTCAAGGGCTTCTTTCAACTGTCACTGCAGCCCCAGTGAACGCACTGGTGTCCCACCTGCTGGTGGTTGAGCCTGAGAAGCTGTATGCCATGCCCGACCCAGCGGGCCCTGATGGACAGCTCCCAGCCGTGGCTACCCTCTGTGACCTCTTTGACCGAGAGATCGTGGTCACCATCAGCTGGGCTAAGAGCATCCCAGGTAAAGGGCTGGCCCAGGTGATGAGGGGCTTCCTGGGTAAGCCAGGCCGTGCCTGGCTCTGGCCCACTTGCTCAGCCAGGTCTCCTCCCCACTGCCCTCCAGGCTTCTCGTCACTGTCGCTATCCGACCAGATGTCAGTCCTGCAGAGCGTGTGGATGGAGGTACTGGTGTTGGGCGTGGCCCAGCGCTCACTGCCACTGCAGGATGAGCTGGCCTTTGCTGAGGACCTGGTCCTGGACGAAGAGGGGGCGCGAGCAGCTGGCCTGGGGGAACTGGGGGCCGCCCTGCTGCAGCTGGTGCGGCGGCTGCAGGCCCTGCGGCTGGAGCGTGAGGAGTACGTCCTGCTGAAGGCCCTGGCCCTTGCCAATTCAGGTGAGCCTGTGGCAGTCTCTGACAGGTCTCTCCATAAGGCTTTCTGGTCTTTAACTCTGTGATGGTGGCACAGTCCCATTTTGCAGGCAAGGAAAACTGAGGCATAGGGAGGAACAGTGACTTGCTAAAAGTCACAAAGCAAGCCAAGGGCAGGGATTTTGAGCCCTTGCGCCACACTTACGTGGAAAGGCCAACAATTTAGTGAGGGGGGGTGGGGAGGACAAGAGATGGCCGTAGTTGAAGGAGAAAAGGTGGACCCTGGCTCATGAGCAGGGGCAGTGAGTGGGGGCTTCAATTAGCCAATGAACAATCTGGGTCTGGTTCTTCCTTAAGGCCCCATGCAGTGCTGCCTGAGCAGCTGGGGGCTCTGTCCTTTGTGGAGACTGCCCGTGTCAACAGCTCTCTGCTTTCTTTGTAGACTCTGTACACATTGAAGATGCTGAGGCTGTGGAGCAGCTGCGGGAAGCTTTGCACGAGGCCCTGCTGGAGTATGAGGCGGGCCGGGCGGGCCCCGGAGGGGGTGCTGAGCGGCGGCGGGCAGGCAGGCTGCTGCTCACACTACCGCTCCTTCGCCAGACAGCGGGCAAAGTGCTGGCCCATTTCTATGGGGTGAAGCTGGAGGGCAAGGTGCCCATGCACAAGCTGTTCTTGGAGATGCTCGAGGCCATGATGGACTGAGGCAAGGGGTGGGCACGGGTGGGGGTGCTGGCAGGACCCGCCCAGCAGAGGGTCAGCCCCAAGGGGGCAGAGCTGGGGTCTGGGCAGTGCCACAGCCTGCTGGCAGGGCCAGGGCAATACCATCAGCCCCTGGGAGCAGGCCCTACGTCCTCCCCTCCCCCCTCCTAGGAGGTGTTAGAAGCTGGGAACGTGTGCGCCCATGCCCTGGGCACAGTGCTGCCCCTTGCAAGCCATAACGTGCCCCCAGAGTGTAGGGGGCCTTGCGGAAGCCATAGGGGGCTGCAGGGGATGAGCAGGGGGGGCAGAAGCCTGATCTTGGGGAGAGAAGGGAGTGGAGGCCACAGGCTCCCAGTGGGTGATGCTTTTGCTGCTGCTTAACCCAACCTCCTCTCCAGAGCAGAGGGGGATTTGGAGAGCAAAGGCCCCTGCCCCCTTCGCTCCTGTCCTCATCATTTGCATTGGGCATTACTGCCCCCCCTTGAAGCAATAACTCCAAGCAGGCTCCAGCCCCTGGACCCCTGGGCTGGCCAGGGCCCCCCATCAGCTCCCACCCAGCCTCCTCCGGGGGTAGGGAGTGCACCGCCTCTATGCCCTGCAGAGCAATAACACTATATTTATTTTTGGGTTTGGCCAGGGAGGTGCAGGGACATGGGGCAAGCCGGGGCCCAGAGCCCTTGCTGTACAGAGACTCTATTTTAATGTATATTTGCTGCAAAGAGAAACCGCTTTTGGTTTTGAACCTTTAATGAGAAAAAAATATATCGAGCTCAAGAACACTGTGTGTCTGGCGTGTCACTGGGTCAAGGGTTGGGAATACACACGATAGAAGTAGCGAACGAGATATACATAAAACAAGGACACATGGTCACAGAATGAAAAGCTGGCGTCCGGCACGATTAGGTCTCCGTCTCCTCATCGCTCAGCAGCATGTTGGGGATGCCGCGGCTGATGGGGAACACACGTCCAGACTCCGGGCATTGCAGGGTGCCCTCCAACACGTCCACCTGCGGGGAAGGGGGACAGAGCTAAGTCCTGGCAGCCTCCGGGCATGGGGGTGTGGCCGGGGAGGCCAGCGATGGGCGGTTCTCACCTCCAGCAGCACGTGGTGCATCTTCCTCAGAAACTCCTCATCACGCTCATAGCCCTGAATTGGCTCTCTGGGCACCTCGGCCAGATGCAACTGTGGGCAACAGGGCTAAGTCGTCCCTGGGCATCCCCGACCCTCGCCCAGAGGCCAGGCCGCCCTGCCTGGTGCAAGGGGCGGCGGGGAGACCACCCCCCAGGGCGCGCACGGGCTGGGGAGGCTCCTCACGGTGTCCGCCGCCTCTAGAAGCGCCGCCCATTCCACCTTGGGGATCATCCGCGCCACGAAGTCAGGGTTGAACTCCACCGGGCTGACGCGGACCTCGGTGGCCTGCGGAGCGAAGGGCATCAGTGAGGCAGGGCCGGACCCGATTCCCCTACCCCGCCCCGGAGGGGGGCAAGACCGCCCGGCCCCTACCTGGAGGCGCAGGGGGAAGCCACGGGGCCCCACCCCCCGCACGTGCGAGCTCAGCAGGTTGTGGGTGAGCAGCTTCATGTTGCCCCAGAGCGCTCTCGCTAGGCCGGAACCGGAAGGAGGCCGGGATTCCGTCTGCGTCACCTCCGGAGCCGCTCCCCTCCATAGCCTATTGGACGGCCGGGCGAAGCGGAAGCGGCGAAGTTGCTGGAACTTCTCGCGCTCGGCGAAGGCAAGGTATTTGAAAGGCCTGGTTGGATCGGGCCCTGGCGCTGGAGGCATCGCGGCAGGAGGTGACTGCGGCGCAGGCCTGGTGCTTTGGGCTGAGCCGAACCTCCGCTGGCTGCCAATGATGTACAATGCAAATTATATGTAAAAGAGCTGCCATGCAGGGGCCTTCGTGGAACGCCAAATAAACATGTTTTATTAACGCCTACACAGGCGCCTGACACCGCCGTCTCCCGCTCCTCCCTTTCGGTTAAGAAACGGAAACACTGCCCCAATCCGTAAATCAGGCCCATCAAACAGCGGCGCCCCAACCTCGCATGCAAATAAGCTGCTCGGATGCCGAAAGCCCCGCCCCTTCGCCGGCGCGCCAGTGGTCCAGCCCCTAATGCAAATGAGCCCCGCGTCCCGGAAGCCCCGCCCCCGCGCGCACGCCTGCGCAGTGGAGGGGCCCCGCCTCCGGAGAGTCCTGCCGCGGCCCCTATCGCCGGGCCCGCCTCCTGAGCGGCCGAGGGGCGGGGCGGCTGTGGCCCCGGGCGGCGTGATGCTGTCGCGGCTGTGCCTCCTGGGCCGCCCAACCGGTTCGGCGGTGGCGCGGGCGGCCGCCGTCCAGTGTGCCGCAGCGGCGAGAGCAGGAGGGTGCTTGGAAGGAGGCAGGGAGTGGACGCTTGGCGCGACCCGCGGTTTCAGAAGCGCCTTCGCAGCCATGGCCCCAATCAAGGTGACTGCTGGCCCGGCCAGGCCTGTCCCCCGCCCCCCGCCCATCGACCCAAGGCCACCCTCCGTCCCGTTTGCCTGGGGGAGAGTCACCCTCTTTCCTGCCCTCCGGTCTCCGCCCCGCCACCCCACAGGCTCCTCCCGCTGTCTGTCCCTCTCATCTCTTCAACAAGACCCCGTGGCCGCCCCCTCGTTCTTGCCGATTTTAGGGGTCTTCTGCCCCATCTGCTGGGCCAGACCGCGAGGCTCCCGAGCCTTCCCCTCGTCTCCATTCCACAGCCACTCTGCGACACCCTGTGACGGCTCTCCGTTATTTTCAGACCATTGAGTTCCCTGGCCTCCCCCACCTTCTGGAACCATCTCCGTTGCCCCAGGGTCCGTTTTCAGTCCCCATCCATCCGTCCCCCCATGCTCTTGTCAAGTTTTGGAGCGTCACTCTCACCGCGTCTTCTGAAACAAGTGTTGTCTCTTAGAGTCCCCGTTCTGTCTGCCCATCCACAGCACCCGTGGCCAACTCCCACCGTCTGCTTAGTCTTCACCCCTCTCATCTTCTGGAACCATCCCCAGCTCCTTGGAACAAACCCCTTCCCCTCCCACACTCTTCTGAGACCCCCTCTTCCTTCTGCTTCATCCTACTGCTACCACAGTTTCTCGGAGACTCTCCTCCCGTGCCTGAGCTTCCGTCGCCTGGTCTACTCCTCCGGGCCTGCAAAGCCCTCACGCACTCCCAGGTGGCCTGATCCTGCCCCCCGGGAGAGTCCGTCTTTTGTTCCATACCCCCTGGATGTGGGGACCTGCATCCCCCCCGACTCTCCCACTTTCTGCTGCCCTCCTTTTTCCTCTTTTCGAGGGTGGGACACTGACACCTGGGTCCTCTCCCTCCCTGTTGTGAGGACCTTGTCCTCACCCCCAAATACAGCCCCTGCCCCTCCTCCCCCTGCCCGTCTATCTCGCTCCTTTCCCACAACTCAGCCTGCTTACTCAACCTCTTGCGACACCTTGGGAGGCTTTCTCTCCCTTTTTCTGTTGTCACCCATGGGCCCTTAAGAGGAATAGGGCCACCTTGAAACCTGGAGGATGTGGGGTAACCAGGCGGTGGTGGGAGAAGGGAGGGCGACAGGGAGGGGCTCTGGAAACTCTGACAGGGTTGAGCTTTCCTGCTGGGCGTCAACTCCGGCTCCACCAGGCACAGCCGCCAGGCCCTCTGGTGCCCTGGCTCTTGTGCTGCCCTTCCCTCCCCACTCCTTGACTCCTGACCTCGGAACCATTCCCTCTAGGTGGGAGACGCCATTCCGTCAGTGGTGGTGTTTGAAGGGGACCCTGCGAACAAGGTCAACCTGGCGGAGCTGTTCAAGGGCAAGAAGGGGGTGCTGTTTGGAGTCCCGGGGGCCTTTACCCCCGGCTGTTCCAAGGTGAGGCCCTGCACTTCTGGGCTCCGCAGTTGGGATCTTGCGTACATGTTTGGATTGTTCATAAATCTTCCCCATAGTCATGAGGCCGTTTGCAACAAAAGTATGTAGGTGATATGACAGATGAAAAGCTTATCAGAGCCTTTAGAACATAAGTGGAGGTTGTGAAATGGTAGCAGAAACCAGGAATATGGGTGAAGAGGGTTTTGAAATGAAATCCAACACCTCATATTGACCTGGCTGGCTGACAGGTGCGAATGGAAGGTACTTGGGACTCGAACAAATAAGACATGGTTCCCCCCTGGGAGGTTCATGGTCTTGACCATAGACTGCTTAAGTTTGGATCTGAGCTTCCTAGTGGCCAAGGCAAAAAGGGACTGTGGCTTACATAGTTCTCATTGTCTGATCAAAGGTGTTGAAGCAGGGAAGTGGGGACGGCCTGGAGATAAAGGGTAGGCTGTGGCTTTGCTGACCCTTTGTTTCCCCTCCCCAGACCCACCTGCCAGGGTTTGTAGAGCAGGCTGCGGCCCTGAAGGCCAAAGGGGTCGAGGTGGTGGCGTGTCTGACTGTTAACGATGTCTTTGTGACTGAAGAGTGGGGACGAGCCCACAACACGAAAGGCAAGGTGAGGAGTGGGTCCTGCAGGGGGTTGGGGACCACGCAGGAGATCTTTCTCGTGACCTTTACCTTGCCTTTAGGTTCGGCTCCTGGCTGACCCCACTGGGGCCTTTGGAAAGGTGAGTGCACCCCCAGCCCCCACCCTCCAGCGCAGTCCCTGTGCCAGGCCTTGGACTCAGGGCCTTGGAGGGACGTGCCCAGGGTGGGGAGCACCTGGGGGGCTTGGCCTGTTCTGAGCTTCCTGACCCCTGTCTTGGCCTCTCTTCTTAGGAGACAGATTTGTTACTAGATGATTCCTTGGTGTCCCTCTTTGGGAACCGACGGCTCAAGAGGTAAAAGTGGGAGGGTCCTCCGTGGGGTTCCCCTGCCCAGCCCCTGTCTCCATTCCCAGCCTCCAGGCCCAGGCTGTTGCAACTGGGCCCCTCCTCTTTCTGGCAGGTTCTCCATGGTGATAGAGGATGGCATAGTGAAGTCCCTGAACGTGGAACCGGACGGCACCGGCCTCACCTGCAGCCTCGCCCCCAACATCATCTCCCAGCTCTGAGGTCCAGGCCCGGACGTCCTCCTTTGCGTTTTCCTGTTTCCCCCACCCAGTTCTGGGCAGAGGCCCAGCCCCCCTCATGTGGGGCCACCTGGCTGAAACCTTGGCCAGATTTCTGCAATAAACACTTTTGGTTCATGTCTGTCTCCTTAATTTGGAGTCGCTGATTCGCTGAGGGCCAGGTCTCATCACAGTCACAGCCGGGAGAGGAGTGGGCAGGGGCTGAAGGGGGACGGACGGGGGACCCTGGATTAACACAGGAGGCAGGCAGGGAGGGCCCTTGAAGGCAGTGTTGCGAAGCATCACTGTGCAAGCTGAGAAAGGGCCAGTGGTCCGAAGAGCAAGGCACAGAGCAGTCCGGGCAGAGGGCGTGTGTCCAGAAAGTTCCTAGGCAGACATGAACTTAGCTCGCTCCCATGACCTTTTGCGTTTGATCTCCGGGTGGTGGCTGAGCTCATTTAGACCATAACCCCAGGGTAGGAACTTTGGCTGTAACCAGCACCCCACCTGGGCCGAACCCCAGCCCCACCATTCTTTCAGACTCTGCTGAACACCTCCTGGGAGCACCCATACCCCAAGAAGGGCCCCCAGCACCTTGGGACCAGCTGGCAGAAAGGGATCCATCTGGAGCAGTGCTGGTTCAGTCCAGGAGGGCTTCCTGGGAGAGGATCTGTGAGGGGAGAAGATGCCCATGAGGCCTGACCAGTGGTGGGTCTAGAGTGGGGAGCTGGGGTTGGGGAGGCTCGGCGGGGTTTGGGGCTGGGGGTCATCGCCATCTGCAGGCCCTGCCCTCGGGCCTCTGCCTTTTGTCCCTGGGAAGCCATGTGCTGGGCAGCAGGCAGCGATTATTAGGCCCCTGCTGTGTTTAGGAGCTCCCAGCCTAAGCGGGGCAGACACTGGGGTGGAGTAAAACTCACTGACCATGTCGGGTATGAACTGTTACAGCCGTCACATCGGTCAAGTCAACAGCCTGGCTCATTCAGCCACTCAAGAGGGGTTTGGATTCGAGCCAGTCAGGCAGCCCCAGGGCTGGTTGTGGGTGTGGGCTCTACTCCCTGTGTGCGCCGTGTTCCCCGTCAGCACCGGGCCTGAGGGGCCCTCCCTGCCCGGCCATCTGCAAGGGCTCAGCCTCCAGAGCCGGCGATGGCAGCTGCCCTCCCTGAGAGGCCTCTTGGAGGACACGACCCTGGAGGCAGTGGGAGTGGTGCTCTTGGCAGAAGGAACAGTGTGGCCGTAGGAATGGAGGGTGGAACAGCCTCACGTTGCTGCAGCACACAGCAGCTGAGAGAAAGAGAGAAAGAGAGAGAGACAGGATGCCGAGAGGGCAGGGGGCCCTTTGAAGCCCCAGTGAAGGATTTCCACAGGGTAATGACAGGTCAGATTTATAGGTGGGCTCCTTTGTGGGGACCGAGCAGAAGCTGGGCGTGTGGCGGACAGAATAGGCTGGGTGAGTTGTGGGCAGCGTGGGGAAGGACTGATGCCCAAGAGGTGGGGGCTGGACATGGAGACCGTCAGGTGTTGGCGGGGAGGGAAGGTGAGTCCAGGGGGCCCCTCAGCTGGGGGCCTAAGGGACTGGGTGGTTGGGGTGGTGGTCACGTGGATGGGGCTCAGGGCTCCCCTTCCCCCCCCCCCCCCCCCCCCACCGCCCAAAGCACTGTGACCTTCGAGGCCCCGGGGCAGTCCCGTTTGCTGTGGGTAACAGCATGCTCCTGCGTCCTTCCCTGAACTAGTCCATGTGGGCCACACCCTCAGCTCCATCAAAGACGGAGTTTTTTGATGCATAATTCACATAAAATTCGCCCTTTAAAAGCAAACGGTTGAGTGGTTTTAGGCTATTAACCAAATTGTGCAACCTTCCGCCCTTAAAGATTACAGGGGCCGGCCCGGTGGTGCAGCGGTTAAGTGCGCATGTTCCGCTTCGACAGCCCAGGGTTCGCCGGTTCGGATCCCGGGTGCG